CCAAAGAAGAGAAAGAGGAGAATTTGAAAAAGGAGAGTGAGCTCTTGAGGGCTAGGAGGGAACTGGATGCCCTGAGAAAAAAGCACCAGAAACTCTCCAAAAAATTGCTGAAGTACTCCCTGTTCAAGAGGTACCTGGAGGATGTGGTGGAGAATTCACAGGTGAGCTTGGACGTGGCTCGGGGAGGGTTTGAACCAGAGGGATGAGGCAAGGCCAGGGAAATCAACCCCTGAGCAAACCCAGAGACTCCAGGTGGGCTGGGAGGGGCTCCCTGGAAACCAAGGTGGGCCACAGGGAGCAGGGTCAGGAGAGGACAAGCAGGATGGATGAAGGCAGGGCAGGGTGTCCCTGACCCCAGGACAGGGCAGGACAGGGTGTCCCTGACTCCAGGACAGGACAGGGCAGGGCAGGGCAGGACAGGGCAGGGCAGGGTGTCCCTGACCCCAGGACAGGGCAGGACAGGACAGGGCAGGGCAGGGCAGGGTGTCCCTGACCCCAGGACAGGACAGGGCAGGGCAGGGCAGGACAGGGTGTCCCTGACCCCAGGACAGGACAGGGCAGGGCAGGGCAGGGCAGGGCAGGGTGTCCCTGACCCCAGGCAGGGCAGGACAGGGCAGGATGTCCCTGACCCCAGGCAGGGCAGGGCAGGGCAGGGTGTCCCTAACCCCAGGACAGGGCAGGGCAGGGTGTCCCTGACCCCAGGACAGGACAGGGCAGGGCAGGGCAGGGCAGGGTGTCCCTGACCCCAGGCAGGGCAGGGCAGGACAGGGCAGGGCAGGACAGGGCAGGGCAGGGCAGGACAGGGCAGGGTGTCCCTGACCCCAGGCAGGGCAGGACAGGGTGTCCCTGACCCCAGGGCCTGTGCTGCAGTTCCGTGACATCGATGACATCATCAGCTACTACAAGGCCCTGCTGAGGACCCGCAAGGACCTGCTGCAGTCCCAGTGGTGGCACCGGCAGCTGATGGAGCAGGGCAAGGGCCTGCAGCAGCAGCTCGAGGCAGAGAAGGAGGCTGAGATGCTCCAGTGCAGGAACGACCTGGTGCAGCTCAAGGAATCCTTTGACCGGGCTCAGAGTGACATCCAGCAGTGGGTAAGGAGCTGAGGGGTGCCCGGGGGGCCTGGGGGACAGGACTGGCTCCTCCTGCAGCCAGGGGCTCGGGGCAGGGCCAGCAGCAGTTTGGGGTGGGAGGAGATGCCCCATCCCCAATCCCATCCTCAATCCCATCCTCAATCCCATCCCATCCCATGGATCTCATCCCCATCCCATCCCATCCCACCCCATCCCATCCCATGGATCCCATCCCATCCCATCCCATCCCATCCCATCCCATCCCATCCCATCCCATGGATCCCATCCCATCCCATCCCATCCCATCCCATCCCATCCCATCCCATCCCATCCCATGGATTCCATCCCATGGATCCCATCCCATCCCATCCCATCCCATCCCGGAGCTGCAGGAGGAGCGAGAGCCCGGGTGGGGGCAGATTTGTCACCAAGGGAGGTGACAGTGGCAGCGCTGCAGGGCTGGCAGGGTGGGCACTGCAGGGTGAGCAGCACAGCTGGGCTCTGCTCTGCTCCCACACAGCTGGGCTGGCTCTGCTCTGCTCTGCTCCCAGCACGGCTGGGCTGCACCAGCCCCAGCCCACCAGGTCCTTCCCAGCCCACCAGGTCCTTCCCAGCCCACCAGGTCCTTGCCAGCCCGGATGAGGCTGAACTTGGGGTCCCCAGCGGGGTCCCAGGGCTGAGGCAGCCCCGCTGGGATGTGTCCGTGTCCCCAGGAGGATCGCTGGGCCCAGGTGCAGGACAGGCAAGCCAGGAAGGCCGTGGAGCTGAGGTCCCTCACCATGGCCATCCACGGCCTGTTCCACGCCGCCAGCGTGCGGCTGCAGCCACAGGGCAGGGTGGCAGCTGGGGACAGCCACCGGCAGCTGGACATGGTAACGTGGCACAGCCCCAGGGCCTCTGAGCCCCGGGGACAGCTCAGTCCTGGCCAGGACAGCAGCAGGAACGGCTCCCTCAGGGCGAGGGGCCCAGCACAGGCTCCCTCCTCCCCTGGGGACCTGGCTGGGAATGTTGGGGACAGCGGGAACACCTGTCCCCGGGAGCATGGGGAGCGGGGCCTGCAGGGGAGGGTCAGACCTGCACAGGGGGTGCAGGGTTTTGGGGTGCAGGGATATGGGGATTCAGGGATGCAAGGGTTCGAGAGTGCAGGGATGTGGGGATAGGGATCTACAGGGTTCAGGGGTGCAGGGATTCAGGAATGCAGGGTTTGGGGGTGCAGGGATACAGGGACAGGGAGTGCAGGGATATGGGGGTGCAGGGTTTTGGGGCGCAGGGGATATGGGAGTGCAGGGTTTTGAGGTGCAGGGATATGGGGTGCAGGGATATGGGGGTGCAGGTTTTCAGGGTGCAGGGATATGGGGATGCAGGGTTGTGGAGATGCAGGAGTGCAGGGAAATGGGGATGCAGGGGTTCAGGGTTTGTGGGTGCAGGGTTTTGGGAGTGCAGGGATATGGGGATGCAGGGTTTGGGGGTTCAGGGTTTGTGGGTGCAGGGTTTTGGGAGTGCAGGGATGCAGGGATATGGGGATGCAGGGTTTGGAGTGCAGGGGTTCAGAGTTGCAAGGGTTTGGGGGTGAAGGGTTTTTGGGGTGCAGGTCCAGCCATGGCCAGGGTTTGGTTCCATTCCCCCATGGAGGCACACTCTGGTGCTTTCATGTCCTGTCACTTAGCTCAGGGACAGCATATGGCCTGCAGGAGGGACAGGCTCCCCTCTGCCTCCTGCCCCCATTGCTGCCTGACCCTGCCCTGTCCCTGTCCCTGTCCCTGTCCCAGATCCGGCAGTTCATCCACGACCTCCAGGACTTCACTGAGGACATGAAGGAGCGTGGCCGAGCTCTGTGAGAGCCTGCCCTGCCAGCGAGGCAGCAGCAGGGTGGGCAGGGAGAGGAGAGGAGGAGAGAACCCGGCAGACATTGCAGACTAAAAAAATAGCAAATATTTAAAGCATCTCTTCAATTCCTGCTGATTTTCCCTGCTCTTCTGTGAGCCCAGATACTCAGCAGCAGAGGAGAGAAGAGCAGGGGGGAGTGAGGCCTGCGTGGCTCTCGGGGTCCCAGAGGCCTCACAGACACTGGCAGCGCCACCAGGAGCTGCTCCTGCTCTGGAAAATCAGCTCTGACTCATCCCGGAGCACAGAGCATGCGGGGCCTTTGTGCCCCTGCATCTCATCTCAGCTCTGACATTTCCAGAGGGACAGGGCCATCCACATCCCCCTGAGAGATGACTCAGCTGTCCCCAGCCATGGCCACCCTGTCACCCGCGGGGGCGTCACCCTGCCGGTGGTGGCAGGAGTTCATGGGACAGGAGCAGCTCTGCCCTGGGAGGGAGGGAGGGAGGGATGGATGGATGGATGGATGGATGGATGGATGGATGGATGGATGGATGGATGGGGACAGGGCTGTCCCCTGCCCTATGATGGATGGATGGGGACACAGCTGTCCCCTCCTGTGAGGGACAGATGGGGACAGGGACCGGTGAGGACACTGAGGGACCAAAAGTGAAGTGTGGGTCAGAGCCAGAAATGGGAGGGTTGGGCTCTTGCAGGAGCTGCTCTGGACATTCCTGGAGCTCCCAAGTGCAGCCCGGGTGTTCAGGGTCGGGTTTCTGCTCCCCTTGCTGGGCACAGCCTTTGCCCACCCTGCTGTGCCACAGCTGAGCCATCTCCTGAGGTGGTGCCAGGAGGGAAAACACCTGCAGAGCTTCCAGCAGACATTTATTGGTTGGGGTTGAGGTGGATGCACACAAAGCTGTGTCCCTCCCATGGGCTGGGCTCCTCTCCCAGCCCTCCCAGCAGTTCTGTGTGCCCGGGGAGCAGCCTCAGGGACACGGGGGACAGACAGACAGAGCGTGTCCATCCTCAGGGGGACACACAGACACAGCCTGCCCGTCCTCAGCGGGACACACAGACAGAGCGTGTCCATCCTCAGGGGGACACACAGACAGAGTGTGCCCATCCTCAGGGGGACACACAGACAGAGTGTGCCCATCCTCAGGGGGACACACAGACAGAGCCTGCCCATCCTCAGCAGGACACACAGACAGAGCCTGTCCATCCTCAGGGGGACACACAGACAGAGTGTGCCCATCCTCAGGGGGACACACAGACAGAGCCTGTCCACCCTCAGCAGGACACACAGACAGAGCCTGCCCATCCTCAGGGGGACACACAGACAGAGCCTGCCCATCCTCAGGGGGACACACAGACAGAGCGTGCCCATCCTCAGGGGGACATACAGACAGAGCCTGCCCATCCTCAGGGGGACACACAGACAGAGCCTGACCATCCTCAGCGGGACACACAGACAGAGCCTGCCCATCCTCAGGGGGACACACAGACAGAGCCTGCCCGTCCTCAGGGGGACACACAGACAGAGCCTGCCCGTCCTCAGGGGGACACACAGACAGAGCATGCCCATCCTCAGCAGGACACACAGACAGAGCATGCCCATCCTCAGGGGGACACACAGACAGAGCCTGTCCATCCTCAGGGGGACACACAGACACAGCCTGCCCGTCCTCAAGGGGACACACAGACACAGCCTGCCTGTCCTCAGGGGGACACACAGACACAGCCTGCCCGTCCTCAGGGGGACACACAGACAGAGCCTGCCTGTCCTGAGCAGGACACACAGACAGAGCCTGCCCATCCTCAGCAGGACACACAGACAGAGCCTGCCCGTCCTCCAGCACTGCCTCCAGCCCAGGCTGCCTCCAGAGGGGCAGGTTTGGAATCCAGGGCTCTCCTGGCCTCTGGCTCCCCTCAGCCCAACCAAACTCTCTGGCTGGGTCACTCATTGCCCCAGAGAGGCCCTGGGAGGGCAGGGCAGGGAGGAGCCTGTGGTGTGTGTGGAACAAAGCAAATCCCTGTGGGCCAAGCACAGCAGCCCTGGAGAGTCTCTGGAGCAGCCCAGGCTGGGATTGGCTCCAGGCTGGGATCAGCTCCAAGGAAGGCCCAGCTCCAAGGAAGCCCCTCCTGCCCATCCCAGCTGCCCAGGACGTGCCCCTACCACGGCCGTGTCCTGTGCCAGGCGCTGGCAGTGCCCTACATGATGGAGCAGGTGAAGCCACAGCACCCCCTGAGCAGGGCCAGGCCCGTCTTGGTCACGTAGGGAGCCGAGGTTTGCTGTCCCCTCGATGTCATCTTCTTCTCTGGGACAGGAGCTGCGGGAACAGGAACCCAGCTGTGCCTGGGGACAGGGCCAGGGCCAGGGCACAGCAGGGGCTGCTGCTCACAGCTGCTCTGGGGCTGCTCCTGCACCTCCATGGCACCGCCCTGGGCCTCGGGGTGTCCCCTGGGGCTGTGGGTGTCCCCAGGGCTGGGAGTGCCTCCCACCGGCCTGGGGAGGTGACAGAGCACAGGGAAGGGGTGGCTCTCATCAGAGGAGTGCTGTCCCTCCTGCAGCCACCCGAGGTGGAGCCAGTGTTCCAGGGGAGATGAAGGATGGCAGCTCCAAGAGAGCCCCCCCAGCCCCGTTCTCGTGGCCCACCTGGGAAATGCCAGGAGGGAAATGGGTCCCCAACACCTGCTCCAATGCCAGCTGCTCCCACGCTGGGGCCTCAAGCAGCAGCACCCCCCGTGCCCCTTCCCCAGGCTCCCCCAGGTGAGGCAGCCCCAGGCAGGGAAACCTTGGAGGCAGAGTGCCAGGGAAGGGGACAAGCCCCAGGGAGGGTCAGTGCAGGCCGTGAACACGCCAGCACCCACTTGCTCTCTGGAGGCAGCTTTTGGACAGCTTGCTCTGCAGGAACTCGGCCATTTCCTTGTCCTCTTCCCTTTCCCTGTGGCAAAGACCTTGGTTACTGCTGGGAAAGGAGCAGCAGGGCCCCAGGAGCCCTGGGAAGGTGGGACACAGCTCAGGGGGTGGATTGCAGCGTCCCCAGCACGAGCAGCAGGTGACAGCAGCTACCTGAGCCTCTCAAACTCCACGTCATCCACCAGGAAATCCCGAGTTTCCACCAGCTTGTGGATCTGCTGCACCAGCTCCTCTTCCCTCTGCTTCTCCTCATTGGATTTCTGGTTCTCTGCAGCACAGGGAGCACACTCAGAGCCATGGGGAGCACATTTCACATCCTCACGGGGAGCACATTTCACACCCCTCAGGAGCCATCCCACCCGCCAAGGCCAGAGCTGCTCTGCTCAGCTCCGAGCATGGGGGCAAAGCCAGGCCAAGGGAGCAGCTGGATCCCGGCTTGGGCTGCTCAACGAGAGGAATCTCGTCCCAGCCGCCCTGGCTGGGTGTGACAGCTCTCCTGGGCTCTCCTGGGGCTCTCCTGGGGCTCTCCTGGGCTCTCCTGGGGCTCTCCCACCACCTGAATCAGTGCAGGGTCACCTGGGCACTGTCTCTGAGCATCCCACACCTGCCTGCTGAGACAGGGCTACCCCCAGGGCATCAGGCTCTGCCCAAGCACTGGCTATTTGGGTTCATTAACAACACCGCTATTTGTGTTCATTAACACTGGCTATTTGTGTTCATTAACACCGCTTTGTGGGGTTCATTAACACCGCTGTTTGGGGTCACTAACACCGGCTATTTGGGGTTCATTAACACCACTATTTGGGTTCATTAACACCACTATTTGGGGTCACTAACACTACTATTTGGGTTCATTAACACCGGTATTTGGGGTCACTAACACCGGCTATTTGGGGTTCATTAACACCGCTATTTTGGTTCATTAACACTGACTATTTGGATTCATTAACACCGGCTATTTGGGGTTCATTAACACCGGCTATTTGGAGTTCGTTAACAACCACGAGGCAGAACCTGTCAGGGTTAAGGTGGCCCTGGACAAACGCTGCCCCTTCCCGCTGCTGGCAGAGCCCATCACGGTGACATCTGAGTCACCAAAGGCACCGTCCGTGGCTGGGGAGGTTTTGAGCCCCAGGCCTGGCCGAGCCCTGAGCAGCACTGAGGTGTTTATCCCTGCCTTTACCCAAAGCCGAGGCTGCCGTGGCTGTCTCACCAGAACAGGCATGTGCAGGCTTTTTCCAGCACAGACTGCTCTGAGTCAACTCAGAAAGAAGACAAAAAGAGCAGAATTTCTGCTCTCAGCTGAGTCTGGGAGTGCTGAAAAGGCAAGAAATGAAAGCCCAAAGCAGATGAAGGAAAGCCAGGCTCATTCCTCCAGTAGCAGAAAAAACCAATTTATCTCTGCTCTGAGATGTGGTTTAGGGAAAGGCTTGGTTTGTGGACTGGAAGGAGTTGGGATTAAAGGCCCCTGTGAGATCTGGAGCAAGGAGCTCCTGTTTTTCTGGCAGGAAACTGCCCTCCCCACTGAGCCTCCATCCACACCCCGAGCCAGGTTTACTGGGGGGAGCAGCACCTGAATCTTGAGCAGCACCTGGGCTCTGCCAGGCACAGCCAGCACCGTGCCACTGTGGCACCTGGCAGGGCCACCTGGCCCCTGAGATGTCCTGGGCACAGACAGAGGAGGTGCCTGGGGCCACAGCTGGGCACAGCTGGGCCCTGCCTGCGCCCATCACCCCTGTAACATCTGCCCTGGGCTGGGGAGTGCAGCACCCTGGGGAGAGCAGCACCCTCAGGGATCCCAGCACCATCAGGGATCCCAGCACCTTCAGGGATCCCAGCACCTTCAGGGATCCCAGCACCCTGGGGACCCCAACACTGTCAGGGATCCCAGCACCTTCAGGGATCCCAGCACCCTGGGGATCCCAGCACCTTCAGGGATCCCAGCACCCTGAGGACCCCAGCACTGTCAGGGATCCCAGCACCTTCAGGGATCCCAGCACCCTCAGGGATCCCAGCACCTTCAGGGATCCCAGCACCCTCAGGGATCCCAGCACCTTCAGGGATCCCAGCACTGTCAGAGATCCCAGCACCCTCAGGGACCCCAGCACCCTCAGGGGGCACCCCCAGAGCCTCACCTGGCAGGCCCAGCAGCTTCTGGAGCTCTGTTTTCAGCCGGCTGATCTCCTGGCAGAGCTGGATGTCGTCCATCCTGCAGGGACACCAATGGGACCTCTGAGGGGGAAAGCTGGGACAGGAGAGGCTCAAACCCCCAGAGCAGCACCAGTGCCTGTGGTGGGATCCCAGATTTCCCTGCCTTCCCATGGGAAATCCAGCCCACTTCACCTCAGAGTTTTGCTGGGGCTCTGGTTGCTGGCAGACAGACAGCTTTTAGGAGCTACACTTCTGATGCTTTCCAAAACTCCTTTTCAAATTCGAGTTCAGGGGCAGCTGTGTCCCAAAGGGAATCCAAATCTGAGCCTTAAAGCAGCTCAAAGCTTCCACTCCCCAGATTGACCACGCACACACAGCACAGAGGGACAGACACACGGCACAGAGGGACAGACACACAGCACACACAGGGACAGACACACAGCACACACAGGGACAGACACACAGCACACAGGGACAGACACACAGCACACAGGGACAGACACACGGCACACACAGGGACAGACACACGGCACAGAGGGACAGACACACAGCACACAGAGACAGACACACGGCACACAGGGACAGACACACAGCACACAGAGACAGACACACGGCACACACAGGGACAGACACACGGCACACACAGGGACAGACACACAGGACACACAGGGACAGACACACAGCACACACAGGGACAGACACACAGCACACACAGATGGACAGACACACGGCACAGAGGGACAGACACACAGCACACACAGGGACAGACACACAGCACACACAGGGACAGACACACGGCACACAGGGACAGACACACAGCACACATACGGACAGACACACAGCACACACAGCACACACAGGGACAGACACACGGCACACACAGGGACAGACACACAGCACACACAGATGGACAGACACACGGCACACAGAGGGACAGACACACAGCACACACAGATGGACAGACACACGGCACAGAGGGACAGACACACAGCACACACAGGGACAGACACACAGCACACAGGGACAGACACACAGCACACACAGGGACAGACACACAGCACACACAGGGACAGACACACAGCACACAGGGACAGACACACGGCACACACAGGGACAGACACACAGCACACAGGGACAGACACACAGACACACGGCACACACAGGGACAGACACACGGCACACACAGGGACAGACACACGGCACACACAGATGGACAGACACACAGCACACAGGGACAGACACACGGCACACAGGGACAGACACACAGCACACAGGGACAGACATACAGCACACACAGGGACGGACACACAGCACACACAGATGGACAGACACATGGCACACACAGGGACAGACACACAGGACACACAGATGGACAGACACATGGCACACACAGGGACAGACACACAGCACACAGGGACAGACACTCACAGCACACACAGGGACAGACACACAGCACACACAGATGGACAGACACAGCACAGAGGGACAGACACACAGACACACAGCACACACAGGGACAGACACACAGCACACATAGGGATGGACACACAGCACACACAGATGGACAGACACACAGCACACACAGGGATGGACACACAGCACACACAGATGGACAGACACACGGCACAGAGGGACAGACACTCACATGTAGCGCAGCTCCGACTCCCGGCGCACCAGGATCTCCCGGATCCGCTCGATCCTGAAGAGCTCCCCCTCGATGTCATCCATGGTGGCCGTGGAGTCGGCCATGGACACGATCTCGTCCTCTGGACAAGGAACACGAAACAGGAGCCACCTGAGGCAGCAGGAGAGCGGCAGGGCCTGGGGGCAGCCTCGGGAGCAGCAGCAGCAGCAGCAGCGCTTGCCCCGCTCCAGCCCGTGCCAGGCTGGGTGCTGGGACACAGCCCCACGTTCCCCGGGTCCCCTTTTCCCCGGTGCTGGGACAGAGCCCCACGTTCCCCGGGTCCCTCTGTCCCCGGTGCTGGGACACAGCCCCACGTTCCCCGGGTCCCCCTGTCCCCGGTGCTGGGACAGAGCCCCACGTTCCCCGGGTCCCCCTGTCCCCGGTGCTGGGACAGAGCCCCACGTTCCCTCGAGCAGCAGCCGCCCAAAGGAGCTGCAAACTGCCGGAAGGGAGGGCAGGGATGTCCCTCTCCTGTTCCAGAGGCACAGAAAGCCCCATTGTGTCCAGCACAGAGCGCTGAGCCTGCCCTGCACCCTCCTGCTGCAAGACCAGGAGCAAACCCCAGGCACACACAGCTCGGAGCTGAGAGCCACGGGGGGAATTCCTGCTGCTGCTGCTGCTGCCCCCATCACGGGCTGGCTGAACACCCCCATCCTTCCCAGGCACGGGGCTGAGCCCCCGTTCAGCTCCCCTACCCTCTGCAGGGCTGAGCTCACAGCCAGCCCCCACATGGGGAAACTGAGGCAGGAAAGGAGGGGGGGTCACCTGCTCAGGGTGAGGGCCAGGAGCTTCACAGCCAAATGTGGGAGAGAGGGGCTGTGATCTGTGTTTGAGAGGAGGGACGGGATGAAAGCCCCTCCAGCTCTGCCCATGGCTCTGAGCAGCAGCTCTGCCTCCCCCGCTGTGACTCACACAAATCCCACTCACTGCTCCTGCCTGGCCCCTGGGTTTCCTCTGGGTGCTGGGTGGATCCCACAGGGACTCCCAGCCAGGTTTGGGGAACAGCTGAGGATCTGCTCCAGGCCAGCTCCCGGCCGGGGCTGGCTCAGACACACTCTGAGCCTGTCACCAGCGCCAGCAGCAGCTCCTTCACCTCATCCCAGCCAACCCCACATTGCTGGGGTGCTGGGGACAGGGGCAGAGCCAGGCTGGGGGGCAACGCTCCAAACAACGTTCCAAACACTCCTGCAGGGGCTGGGGCTGCTTTCCCTGACCCTTCCTGGGACAGGACACAGCTCCCCTCTGAGGCCCTGCCTTCCTGCAGCCCTGGGAGTTCCCTGTGCAGGAACAGGGGAAGGCACAGGAAATACAGAAAATACAGAAAATACAGAAAATACAGAAAATACAGAAAATACAGAAAATACAGCTGCTCCCAGGAAGAGGGAGAGAAAATACAGAAAATACAGCTGCTCCCAGGAAGAGGGGAAAGGATAGGAAATACAGGTGCTCCCAGGAAGAGGGGAAGGCACAGGAGGTGCAGCTGCTCCAGGAGCAGGATTGCCCGGGCAGGGATGCTGGGAGATGCCAGGGTTGTGCTCTGGGCATCCCAAACAGGAGCCAGGCCAGTGCTGAGGGTTACAGGGCAGGAAGAGACAAACCCCAAGGCACAGGAGCAAGACCTCTGTCCTCTCCCCATCATGAAACACTGCTCAGGAAATCATTCCCAGGATGGGACATATGTCCAAGACTTCCAGCAGGGAAGGTTTATTGTGGAAATCCAATGGTTTGGATCCTTGTGAGCGGTTTGGGGAAGAGTTTTCTGCTGTTTCTGGCTTGGAAGCCCATGAGGGTTCCTGGAGGTTGTGTCCCTGCCCCAAGGCAGGAAGGGCAGGCTCAGCTGATGCCAGGGTGTGACCTTCCCTCCGTCCCTGTTGGGGTCAGGGCAGGGTGAGGCTGGATGAGCTCTCCAGGAGCTCCTGCTGGGGCAGGGTGAGGCTGGATGAGCTCTCCAGGAGCTCCTGTTGGGGCAGGGTCAGGCTGGATGAGCTCTCCAGGAGCTCCTGTTGGGGCAGGGTGAGGCTGGATGAGCTCTCCAGGAGCTCCTGGTGGGGCAGGGTCAGGCTGGATGAGCTCTCCAGGAGCTCCTGTTGGGGCAGGGTCAGGCTGGATGAGCTCTCCAGGATCTCCTGTTGGGGCAGGGTGAGGCTGGATGAGCCCCAGCAGCTCCTGTTGGGGCAGGGTCAGGCTGGATGAGCCCCAGCAGCTCCTGTTGGGGTCAGGGTCAGGCTGGACGAGCCCCAGCAGCTCCTGCCTGGCTCTGCTCTCCCTCTGCCTCCCTCCTGCCGGTTGCCAAGGGACCGGCCTGTGCCTGCTACAGCATCACGGTGCGGTTGCTAAGGGACCAGAGTGCGGTTGCTAAGGGACCAGAGTGCGGTTGCTAAGGGACCAGGATGCTGAGGTCCTTCATCCCGAGCACGGCTCTGCTGCCCCGCAGCTGCTCTGGCCTGGGTTGTTTTGCTGCAGCTGCACCCGGCTGAGCAGCTGGGGACGGCCCCAGGGGCCTGTGGCAGATGCTGCCAGATGTGCAGGGACCAGCACAGCTGGAGGGGCAGGTGGCACAGCTGGAACCAAAAGCTGCGCTGCTGTGTCCCCTCTGTGCCAATAAACACAGAGACACAAACACGGGGCTTCCTGCAGCCTCGGGCCCAGGGACACCCCAGGGACACCCCAGGGACACCCCAGGGACACCCAGCGACACCCCAGGGACACAGCAGAGACACCCCAGGGACACCGCAGGGACACCCCAGGGACACCCCAGGGACACCGCAGGGACACCCAGGGACACCCCAGGGACACCCAGGGACACCGCAGGGACACCCCAGGGACACCGCAGGGATACCCAGGGACACCCCAGCCTGCCCGGGGGCACGGGGCAGGGCTGGGGACAGGGATGGTCCCTCCCGGCCTGGGAATAGCCCGGCACGTTCTGATCACTGCGCTGAGCTTTCCAGCAGGGATTCCCCCGGGGGCAGCGCCAGGGCTGGAGCAGCTCCAGAATCCCAGAATGGCATCGGCACAGCCGTGCCAGCTGCGAGAGGGGATCCTCGGCAGGAGAGGCAAAGGGAGGAGGCGCCTGGGACGGGAGGAGGTGGCAGGGCTGGGATGGGAGGAGGTGACAATGATGGGACAGGAGGAGGTGGCAATGATGGGACGGGAGGAGGTGACAATGCTGGGACAGGAGGAGGGGGCAATGATGGGACAGGAGGAGGTGACAATGATGGGACAGGAGGAGGGGGCAATAATGGGACGGGAGGAGGTGACAATGATGGGACGGGAGGAGGTGACAATGATGGGACGGGAGGAGGGGGCAATGATGGGACAGGAGGAGGTGGCAATGATGGGACAGGAGGAGGGGGCAATGATGGGAAGGGAGGAGATGACAATGCTGGGACAGGAGGAGGTGGCAATGATGGGACGGGAGGAGGTGGCAATGATGGGACAGGAGGAGGGGGCAATGATGGGAAGGGAGGAGATGACAATGATGGGACGGGAGGAGGTGACAATGATGGGAAGGGAGGAGATGACAATGCTGGGACAGGAGGAGGTGGCAATGATGGGAAGGGAGGAGATGACAATGATGGGACGGGAGGAGGGGGCAATGATGGGACGGGAGGAGGGGGCAATGATGGGAAGGGAGGAGGTGACAATGATGGGACAGGAGGAGGGGGCAATAATGGGACGGGAGGAGGGGGCAGGTCTGAGCTGCTTTCCCCCACCTGCAGCGGGAGGCTGGGATGTAATTCCAGCCCCTGGGCAGAGCCCACAAGGGCAGGAAAGCTCCTGGCTGGGCTCTGGGTTGGTTCCCACGGGGCAGGGCTGGCACCGCCGGGCGGGGCTGGCACCACCCTGCCCTCCCACGCTGCTCCCAGGTCACCTTTCTGCTGGACACTGAGCAGGTCAGGGTGTCCTGTGACATGGGGACAGTGGGAAGGTCACAGCACTGCCCAGCCAGGGCCGCAGGGCTCAGCTGGAGGGTGCCAGCCCTTGGCTGTGCCTTCAGGAGCTGTGGTCAGTCCTGGCACTCCACAGCCCTCAGGAATTCCAAGGAACTGCTCCCCAAAGCAGGCGGTGCTGGACAAGGTGCTCTGACAGGAATTTCGTGTGCCTGGAGCTGCTGAATTCAGGGCAGAAGCAGAGGGAGAGCAGTGCCAGGAGGGAAATGATGGAAAATTAACCCACAAACCCTGGGATGGAGAGGGGGCACCCAGGGCAGGGTGCTCACTAAAGCTGGGAGCAAGCCCACGATCCAGATCCCGCCTTGGGGACAGACAGGGATGGCCCCAGGTGTGGCCACACTGCCCAGGGGTCCCTGTGCCCCCACAGCTCTCCCAGAGCAGCACAGCCACACACAGAAACCGCCAGTGCCTGAGGCAAAGGGATCTTGCCTGGCACCATTTCAGCCTGGCAAAGCAAGCACAGGAATTTGGAGATGCTCCGATCATCCCCACCAGCCCAGGGCGGGGCCTCTGCTAACGAGGAGTGCAATAGGCACAGGCTTCCATTCCAGAGGGTTTGGGGACCGCATTTGGGCAGCCAGCAGCAAGCTGGGATGAGTCACTGCAGCCAACAGTGCAGGGTGAGCTTTGAGCCATTTTCTTCCGGATTGAAGTTGGGAAATCGATTGTGAGCCCCCGTGGAGGGGTCAGAGCCCTTCATGGGGGCACCATCCCGAGAAGCCTCAGCTCAGCTGCGCTTTGCTCTGCTCCTGCCAGCAGCAGGGACAGGGGACACCCAGCCTGGGCTCCAGCAGGACGAGAGGCTCCAGGAGCTCGGTGCTGCACAGGCTTGGTCTGAGCTGTGCTGGTGGGGAGGAAGCAGCAGAGCAGCACCTGAACAGCAGACAGGGATTGCTGTTCTTACCCAGCCCAAGGTTCTCACCCAGCCCAAGGTCCCCAGGAGCTGGGAGCTCACAGAACTGCCCTGAACCAGCAGAATCCCAGCCCTGCTCACAGGCAGCCATGGGGGATATCCTGCCCATAGGCAGCACCCTGAGTCGGGTCCCTGGCCCAGCTCGGTGTCACCCAGCTGCTGGAGCAGAGGACGGGCTGGTGAAGGTGCTCAGAGCCCCACGGGAGCTGTAGGGGAGGAAAGGCACGGCCAGGAAAGGCACAGGGGGAAAGGAGCCAAACTTCCCACAGCTGCCCCAGGAGCCGAGCAGCTTCACGGGCACCACTCAGCCCCCAGGCAGTACCGGCAGGATGCTGGAGCTGGTGGTGCCTCCTGCCCTGCCTCTGCAGCTGCCTGAGCCCGCTGCGTGCAAGGGACAGGGACGGGAGGGGTCGGAGGGGCGGCGGGGCAGAGGGGTCGGAGAGGCGGCGGGGCAGAGGGGTCGGAGGGGCGGCGGGGCAGAGGGGTCGGAGGGGCGGCGGGGCAGAGGGGTCGCAGGCGCCTCCCTCGGCCCAGCCCAGCTGCGACCCTTCCTCCCAGCCCAGGGTCGAGGGCTCTGCTCGAGGCGATTCCCCCGCTGGGCATCCCCGCTCTCCTCACCTCGGTCCCGCTGCACCAACCGGTCTGAGAGGGGCAAAGGCGGTGAAGGACAGGGCGAGCCCCCTGTGCCCTGCTCACAGCCGTGCCCAGGGCCGCGCACGCAGCGAGAGGTGACCGTGCTGCCCCGGTGTGTCCCTGCAGACACCCCTGCCGCCACTCTTCCTGTCCCCCAGGCACTCCATCCATCCATCCATCCACCCATCCATCCATCCATCCATCCATCCATCCATCCATCCATCCATCCATCCATCCATCATCCATCCATCCATCCCCACTCCCGATGGCCGCTCGGGGACCCGGGCTGGGCTCCCTTTGGTGGATGAAGCCGCCGGTTCCCCGCCAGCTCCCGGGGCTGGGGTGCCCGGGTTGTCCCGGGGCTGGGGTGTCCGGGTTGTCCCGGAGCCCGGGGCCGGGGGAAGTTGGGCTCGGGCGGTGCCGGTGCCGCGGTGCTCACCTGGCCCCGCGCCGGCCGGCGGCCAGCGGGTGGATTCCATGGATCCGTAGCGGGGAGAAGCGCGGCTGCCCTCCATCCGCAGCCAGAGCGCCGCGCTCCGCCGGCCCGGGGCTCCCGCTGCTCCGATCCCTCCGCTCCGCTCCGCTCCGCCGGCCCGGGGGCTCCCGCCGCTCCCGCTGCTCCGCTCCCAGCCCTCCGCTCCCGCCGCGCTGCTCCCGCCGCTCCGATCCCTCCGCTCTGCTCCGCTGGGGCGGGGGCTCCCACCGCTCCCTCCTCTCCCTCCCTCTGCTCTCTCCGCTCCGCTCCCTCCGCTCCCAGCCCTCCTCTCCCTCCTCTCCCTCCCTCTGCTCTCTCCGCTCCGCTCCCTCCACTCCCAGCCCTCCTCTCCCTCCGCTCTGCTCTCTCCGCTCCGCTCCCAGCCCTCCTCTCCCTCCTCTCCCTCCGCGCTGCTCTCTCCGCTCCGCCGGGGCGGGGGCTCCCGCCGCTCCCTCCCCTCCGAGCCCCCCGCCTGCAGCCCCCGGCCCCCGCAGCTTCACCCGGGCCGTGCCCCGGGGCCCCTCCCGGCCCCTTTCAGCCCCAAACGCGCAGCAGCGGCACCGACCGAGCAGAGCCCGGGCACTGAAGGCGCCCAGGCGCTGGGGGACACGGGGGTGGGACACGGGGGTGGGACACGGGGGTCGGACACGGGGGTGAGGCTCAGCACCCAACAGCCCCCCCAAAACCCGCTGAGCCAGGGCAGCCGTGCTTTCTGGTAGAAGCAACTTTTGCCCATGGGAAAACCCAACAGTGAGAGCTTGAGCCAAGCCCCAGGGGCTGGAGTGCAGCGGGCACCTGAGCAGGACCCTGGGGCTCCCTCCCCTCTCGGCCAGGACTGCAATGCCCGGGGGCACCGCCCTGAGGCTGGGTGTGGGGGGCAAACCTGCTCTGACAGGGTTTGTGCTCCCAGAGCGCTTGGCTGAGGAGTCACGGCTCTGCAGGGATTCACCCCAGCACCCGCTGCCCAAAACGCACCGAGGGGACACACAGAGTCCTCTGGGACAGCTCTTGGGCAGGACGGGCCTGTAGGTGACACTGGTGTCCCCATGCACGGCTCCAAGGGCTCAGGGACAGGCAAAGTGGCTCAGGGACACTTTGGGGAGTGCCCCTGCCTGGAGAGCAGGGACACAGTGACACTGGGGGGGCTGGGAGATCAGCCCCTGCCCAGCCTCAGCTCCAGCCAGTGAAACACAAACCTGAGCAAAATCCTGGAATTCCCACCTCCAACAGCCAAAGAGGAGCTCCCGGCTCCTGATGCAGGCGAAGGATTTGAAGCCAAGAACACGTGCCAGAGACGGTGCTTCATCCTTTGAGGATAACTGTGGAATAGAAACACAACGAGGCAAAAATTGAGTCTCTGCCTAAAAACAGGGGGAAAGGATGTGGGAGCTGCTGCTCTGGGATGGAAATGAAGCAGCAGCACCTCTGGAAATGCAGGAGCACTCTCCCAGGAGCAGCACAAAGCCAGGAGGTGGCCTGGGAGCTGGAAGGGTGACCCTTGGCAAACTGGGAGCTCCAGCATTCCAGGGAATCGCTCAGGAATGCCCTGGGATTGTAAGGAAATGCCGGCTCCCAGCCGAGGGACAGGACAGGGCTGCCCGGGCTGCTTTGGGTATGCAGGGGCTGCTTTGGGGGTTCGGGTGTGCAGGTTTGGGGGTTCGGGTGTGCAGGTTTGGGGGTTTGGGTGTGCAGGGGCTGCTTTGGGTGTTTGGGTGTGCAGGTTTGGGGGCTCGGGTGTGCAGGGGCTGGTTCGGGTGTGCGGGGGCTGCTTTGGGGGTTCGGGTGTGCAGGTTTGGGGGTTTGGGTGTGCAGGTTTGGGGGTTCGGGTGTGCAGGTTTGGGGGCTCGGGTGTGCAGGGGCTGGTTCGGGTGTGCAGGGGCTGCTTTGGGGGTTCGGCTGTGCAGGTTTGGGGGCTCGGGTGTGCAGGGGCTGGTTCGGGTGTGCGGGGGCTGCTTTGGGGGTTCGGCTGTACAAGGAAGGAGAGCCATGACGCTGCTGCCTCTCAGCTGATGAAAGGATCAGCGCCCCCAGCCCTGGAGCCAGCGGGGCTGCAGTGACTCACCTTGTTTTGGTCGCTCCGAAGCGCAGAGAAAATGAACCTGTAAATATTTTAATCAGTTCTTCAGGCAAGCACTCTCCAGGATGGCTTTCACTGCGAGCAGCCAGATCTGCTGGGGGCTGAACTGGAGTTTAATGCATTTGATACGCTCAATTTATCGGGAGTAAATCAGACAGTCCAGAGTCAGGATACAATTCACCACTGGAGCTGCTGGATTGGGTGGAATCCTTGGGGCAGAGGGAAGTGCACATCAGGCACCGGAGCAGCCGGGGCTTCTTCCCTCGCCCAGGTCCTGGAATTCTGAGGCCGAGGAGTTTCAATGGGACCTTCCCTGCTCCTCCTCAGAGAGATGAGCTCGTGCTGTGGACGGGCAGGATTCAAGGGAATGCCCAAAGTCGGTGTGATAATCTCGCACCATAAGGGGTTTTGAAGATTATCAAGCCAATAAAGACATTGGGTGCAGATGCAGGGGAGTCAGCCCTCTGCACAGCTCCAGGATGGACAGGCTCCTGTCGCTGCAAGGCTTCTCCCCGTGAATCTGCAATCCAGCAGCTGAGGCAGATGAAAAGGGCACGGCTCACCCAGGTAACCGCGTCTAACGCGGGTAGCTGAGGCAGCAGCTGCATTTCAAAGCATTCCAGCTCTTTCTGTGCCGCTCACAAGGGCTCAGGGTGTGCTGCGTGCAGGGATGAGCCTGACTGCAGGCAGATTCCCCGTTAACACGCTTTGTTCCTCAGGTATTACACGACAATGAGACCGGGAGAAATTCTTGACATCAAAATTGCTCCACTCGCGTTTGAATTCCTGGGAGAAGACAACGTCTTAATACAAAGTCCCAGCTGCTCTCGGCACGGGCACGGCTCTGTCTGTGGAGCCACTCCAGCGGAGCTTTGCGCTGGCACAGAGGATCGCTGCCGGGAGAGAGGGAGGGAGCTAATTACCCTGAAAACACCTGATGGACACATAATGCGGGATCGATGCCTGCTGAGGGAGGAATTACAGCCCGGAGTCCTTTCCTTGTCTCCAGCGCTTCCTGCCGAGCCCACAGCGCGGCAGGGTGACACGCTGCCAGGCCATTTCCATATGCCACAATAAATATGCATTCCCATAAATATTCTGCTTTCTGCAGCTGCCTGTCTCGGGGCTTGTGAGCCACTCGGGCAGATGTTACTGAAATCCATCCCTGAGCACAGGAATGAGGCCATTTCCTGGCCGAGGAATTCCTGATAACTGAACTGACAGCAGCTTTGCTGCGGCTCCAGGGACTCCAAGGCTCATTTAAACCCCATTCAGATCTCCTGATGACATCAGACCACCGATTTTCCATTGAGCAGCAGAGCTTCCCTCCCGGAGAGGGGCTGCAATCTGTGCCTTGGAGGTGAAGGCAGGGCAGGTGAGGAGGTTTAACCCAGGAATGGGTTAAAAGGAAGGCTGGGCACCAGTGACTTCCAGCTGGGAATTTCCTGGGATAACTCAGGAGATCCTCTGGCATGGACCGAGCGCTGCTCTCTGCTGTGCCCAGGTGTCGCTTTGTTGGTGAGGGTTAATAAGGGACATGAATTCCCCTTCTCTTTCTGGGGTTGTGCTGTCCCTGCCCGGCTGCCTCAGCAGCCTCAGGAGCCCAGCTCAGGTGTCCCTTCCCGTGCCCGGAAATCCCAGGCTGTCCCTGCCCGGCTGCCGCAGGAGCCCAGCTCAGGTGTCCCATCCCGTGCCCGGAAATCCCAGGCTGTCCCTGCCCGGCTGCCTCAGCAGCCTCAGGAGCCCAGCTCAGGTGTCCCCTCCCGTGCCCGGAAATCCCAGGCTGTCCCTGCCCGGCTGCCTCAGCAGCCTCAGGAGCCCAGCTCAGGTGTCCCTTCCCGTGCCCGGAAATCCCAGGCTGTCCCTGCCCGGCTGCCTCAGCAGCCTCAGGAGCCCAGCTCAGGTGTCCCATCCCGTGCCCGGAAATCCCAGGCCGCCCCGTGCCACCTGCAACGCCGGGCACGCCTTCAATCAGCAGCAGGAAGGGCCCAGGAGGGCCGGGCCAGCCGCGGGCTCCGAGCACACCTGGAGGGCTCTCCCAGCAGATTCCCAGCAGGAGACACCGAAACCACAAAGCACGACACGGGGGGTGCTCTGCGGGTTAAAAACTTCTCTTACAAATGAACCGGGTTTTTATTCACACCCCTTATAAAGTGCAGAGAGTCCACAGCCACCCCGGAAGGGTTCTGTGTGCTGTCAGCATGCCAGTAATTTCCATTGGGTGGTGTCACAGCCCAGCTCACATGTCACCCAGCAGCAGCTCTGGCAGCAACAATGCAAGTTTGGCTTTTGACTAAAAACTCAGTTACATTAATTTACCCAATGTATACCTGAAATATCCTTTTGGGATTTTGGAAGCAAAATCATCAAGTTAAAAAGGAAAAATTACAAAAATTTAGAATGTTATAAAGTAAAAAATTAAGATTAATATATATTTTTTAATAGAAATCTCTCCTGTCAGATATAGCAGTATATATTCAGCAGTTCAGAATTTATGGTGATTTGTGGACACTATCATTACCCCAGGTTCCCACTCCACCCCACAGATTTAGGTACGGACTAGTTGATCCCATGCTGCTGTATCCAATTCCTGTTAAAGCTCTCGTCCTTCATAGCCTTTACCAGCCAGTCCTTCTCGTCCTCCTCCTCAGAATCACTCACTTCACTGGAATCCGCAGCCAGGAGCCGGGAATAATTGATTTTTCTCTGCCGGGGCAATCTGCATCGGACAATTAGGAAGAACAGGGTCCAGACGCCGAGCCCCACGCAGCTGGCCTGGAGCAGCACGGGCAGCCCGAGGTGCTGCACCACAAACCCTGCCCCGAGGCTGCCCAGGCCGGCCCCTGCCGTGCCCAGCGCCCGCAGCAGAGCGAGCAGGGCGCGCTCCGTGCCCGGCGGGGCCGCGTCCCGCACCGTGCCCTGCATGCGCCACCGCAGGGCCCCGCCGCCGAGGCCGGACAGCGCCTGCAGGGGCAGCGCCGCCCAGGGCACCCGGAGCAGGGAATAGCTCAGGAGCTGCGCTGCGAGCGCGCCCAGGCCCAGCGCCTCGGCCCCACCGCCCGGCAGCGCCCGCAGCAGCCGCGGCCCGAGCGGGTGAAGCGCCAGCTCCGCCAGCGGCCCCAGGGCCACCCAGAGCCCCAGGAGGAGCTCGCTGCTGCCCTGGTCCTGCAGCTGCCACGGGAGGAAGCTGTGGCTGGCAGCGCTGGCGGCGCCCACGAGGAACAGGGTGGCTGCCAAGAGCAGCGCCCGGCCGTGGCCCCGCAGCAGGGACAGCGCCTTGGGCAGCCCGGGAGCGCGGCCGCCGCGCCTGGGAGCGTGGCTGGCAAAGGAGACGCCGACCGTCAGCGAGAGCACCACCAGCACAGCGTAGGCGTAGAAGTGCACGGCCAGGCGGGGTACGGAGCCGCCGAGGGTGCAATCCAGCTGCTCCACCAGCACGGACACGCCGCACGCTCCGGCGGCCGCGCCCACGCAGCCCCACGGCCACAGCCGCCCGTGCCTGTCCGTGGCGTCCACAAAGTCCAGGTACTCGTAGACACTCTCATCCATGGCCCATTCCAGGGACGTGGCCAGCAGCTCCCAAAGCACCACGGCGCCCAGGACCATGAGAAAAACCCGGTACTCTGTGTCCTGGGAGGTGCTCTGCACTGCCTCCAAGCTGGCACCTCGAGAGTCGGAAAGGTTTTCGGACACGTGGGCACCTCCAACAGCGGGAAGAGCTGTTTTAAACAAAGCTGGCTCGTTACTCTCGGTGGCATTTAGGCTTTCCTCAGCATTATCAGCAGGATCGGTGGCGGCAGAGTCCGGAGTTTCCTTCTGGAGCCTGGGGGAGGGAGGGCTGTAGGATGCCGGCCCTCCTGGTTCCGGTGTCTGCTGATCGATGCCTTTCACTGTCGGGCCAGAGGGACCATCCAAGGAGCCTTTTCCCTTTGGATCACCTTCCCCAGGCCCTCTGCCGCGTTCCTGAAGGGCACCTGCTGTGCCCAGCAACGCCTGGGAGGTTGAACTGCCCGGAGCGGGCTCCCTGCTCGCTGCCACCACCTCAGCAGCCGCTGTGCCCGCTCGCCCTGGCACGGCTCTGGTGTGCGGCAGAGCGCTGGGGTTCAGCGCCCCGTCACTGCTCCTGCCGGGGCTGGGCACCGGGCTGGGCACAGGGCCGGGCACAGAGCTGGGTACAGAGCTGGGCACCGGGCCGGGCACCGGGCTGGGTACAGAGCTGGGCACCGGGCCGGGCAGAGCGGAGGGGAGCACGGAGGGCAGCGGGGCGGGCAGCGGGGCGGGCAGGCCGAGCTGCAGGCTGCAGCCCGAGCGCCCCGTGTCCCCCGCGGGCGGGATGAGGGTGAGCGCCAGGCTGGCCCCGGCCGAGCCCAGCGCCGAGCCCAGCAGCAGCAGGCGCCGCCCGGCGCGGCCCCGCGGGCAGCACAGCGGAACGGCGAGCGCCGCCAGCAGCCGGGCCCCGGCCGCCGCCCCGACCAGCGGCGCGGGCAGCCCGAGCAGCCGCAGGTAGAGCGGCAGGAAGGGCTCGGCGCAGCCCCGGCCCGCGCCCTGCAGCCCCCGGAACAGCGCGGCCAGCGCCAGGGCCCGGCCCACGTCCCAGCGCCCGCTCATGGCCCCCGCCGCATCGGCCTCACCCGCCGCCAGCGCCGCCGCTCCCCGCCCGCTCCGCTCCGGGCAGGGCGGAGCCGCCGCACCTGCGGCACCGGGGCGGCACCGGCCCGGCCGCACCTGCCCCGCCACGGCACCGGCGGGAGCCCTCTGCGGGCCGGGCCGGGAATGGCCCGGGACCGGAACGGGAATGGCCCGAGACCGGCAGGGGAATGGCCCGGGACCGGCAGGGGAATGGCCCGGGACCAGCACGGGAATGGCTCGGGATCGACACCGGAATGGCCCGAGACCAACAGGGGAATGGCCCGGGACCGGCACGGGGATGTCCCGGGACCGGCACGGGGATGTCCCGGGACCGGCACCGGAATGGCCCGGGACCGGCACGGGGATGTCCCGGGACCGGCACCGGAATGGCCCGGGACCGGCACGGGAATGTCCCGGGACCGGCACCGGAATGGCCCGGGACCGGCACGGGGATGTCCCGGGACCGGCACGGGGATGTCCCGGGACCGGCACGGGGATGGCCCGGGACCGGCACGGGGATGGCCCGGGACCGGCACGGGGATGGCCCGGCCCGTCCCCTCCCGCAGGTCCCGGGATGCTCGGGCTGAAGCGGCCGCCGCGCTCATCTGGCCCCAGCGCCCCGCACAGGCCGGGGAGCGGCGGCCGCGGTTCCGCTGGGCTCGGAGGGGACGGCCCGGGGCCCGCCCTCCTCCCGGCCCGCCGGGGCGCGGGGGACACGGACGGGAGCCCCAGGGAACGGGATTGAGGGTGGAATAGCCCCGGTGAGGGATGCTCCTCTCTGGACAATCTGTTCGGGGCTCACTGCACAGGGAAGAACCGAGCCTCAGTTCAGGTGGAGCTCCTGAGCATCCCAGCCACGTGCAAACACACAACAACCACCAAGGGCAGCTTCAGCTTGGCTTTGTCACCATTTCTTTCCATCGGCACTAAAAGGACTGCACCCTCCGGTACAAGTCATCCATGACACCTATACAAATAATTTATCATCCATCTACATAGTTTACAGCTGTACAGAACAAACTCTGCGCTCCAGCCCACACCCCAGCCCAGCTCCAAGCCTTTTGGCTTTCTGAGCTTTTTCTTTGTGTGTGCAAACCCCACAGGGAAGCCCTGAAGAGGCAGAGGGGTGCAGAGGGGTCCCCCTTAAGGCCCACACGACCCCAAAACCAGCAGCTGCTCATGCAGGGGTTTCCTGAGGTGCCTGAGAGCTCCTGCTGCTCCCCAGCTTCCTTCAGGGGCACAATGTTTGCTGCCCCAGACTGGCACAGGGGAGCACCAACAGCGTTTGGCTCGTGAGGTAAAAACCTGAGCCCTGCTGGGCTGTGAGACACCTCCAAAAAGAACATTGCTGCTGCCAGCTGCCCTGGGCTCCCCGGGTGGCAGCGCCACCTCCACGGATCTGCCTTGTTCTTCCTGAATGGAGAGCTCAAAGCTTTTCCCTGACCTGGGCAAAAGGCGAAAGCTCAGTCCTGGAGCATGGCTGTGCCCTTGGCAGGGGCTGTCAGCACCTGTCACACTGTCACACTGTCACACTGTCACAGGGCAGGGCTGTGCCCTTGGCAGGGGCATGGGGCCATTGTCACACTGTCACACTGTCACACTGTCACACTGTCACACTGTCACAGGGCAGGGATGTGCCCTTGGCAGGGGCATGGGGCCATTGTCACACTGTCACACTGTCACACTGTCACAGGGCAGGGATGTGCCCTTGGCAGGGGCATGGGGCCACTGTCACACTGTCACACTGTCACACTGTCACAGGGCAGGGCTGTGCCCTTGGCAGGGGCTGTCAGCAATTGTCACACTGTCACACTGTCACAGGGCAGGGATGTGCCCTTGGCAGGGGCTGTCAGCAATTGTCACACTGTCACACTGTCACACTGTCACAGGGCAGGGCTGTGCCCTTGGCAGGGGCATGGGGCCATTGTCACACTGTCACAGTGTCACACTGTCACACTGTCACAGGGCAGGGCTGTGCCCTTGGCAGGGGCATGGGGCCATTGTCACACTGTCACAGTGTCACACTGTCACACTGTCACAGGGCAGGGCTGTGCCCTTGGCGGGGGCATGGGGCCATTGTCACACTGTCACAGGGCAGGGCTGTGCCCTCTGAGCCCATCCTCCTCTGCTCTCCTCACCATTGCCATGTAAAGTCCCCACTGGTGGCTTTCAGAGAGTTTTCTCTCCCCGTGTGCTCTGTGCTGGCCCCAGGTCGTAGCTCCCAGCACCTTTTCCCATCTCCTTCACGGGATGACTCCTGCGAAAGTGTTGATGGGCAGCAGCAGAGACTTGGGCAGGTATTTCACCAGCCCCACGTCTTCTGTTTCCTCAGGGCTGCATTTCGTGGTCCTCGTCTTCTGCAGGCAGTAGCTGGGCTCGAGGCAGGGAGACACCTCCAGGCTGGAAGGGCACAGAGCACATTTCCTGTGGCACGTTCCGATGTGAGCTCTGAGCAAAGCCCAGCTCTCCCCCTGCCAGCCACAGCTGCATTTGTGCTTTCTGCAGCTGGGTCTGACCGCAGAGATCAGCTGCTGGGTGTCAGTGTTTGACAAATCCCCGAGCTCCTGAGCCCAGTGAGACTCAGGAATTCACAGTTTGTGCTGGCTGCTGTTGACCAGCAGGGATCAGAGTGACCAGCAGGGATCAGAGTGACCAGCAGGGAGGGATCTGGGGCTTTGGCTCAAACATCCAGACTTTTCCACAGAAAATGAACCCTCAGCACATCCCTGGCCCTGCAGCTCCCCGGGCACACCGGCCCTGGCCATGCCCACAGGGCTGGGTGCTCTCCCCCACCTGCCCCTGCTGGACAGCCCGGGCAGGGATGCAGTCAGGGCAGAGCATCAGCACCCTGATGCCTTCATAGCTCAGGAGATCTAACTCTGCTTGGCCCTGGAGGTGCCTGCTTTTCTCCTGCCTCAAGGACAGCGCCTTTTGTGTAAAGAACAATCTTATTCCCCACACCATCTCCCAAAACACAAATGTAGGGGAGCCTTCGTGTCCCTGCTGTCCCTGCAGAAGGAGTGGGGGTTTGTCAGGGATGAGGATCGGGGCTCCCTGGCAGGGGGGAGGCAGGGGATGTGCAGAGCCAGGATTCTCACCCGATCACGTCCCTGTAGGTTCTCCTGCTGTCCTTGTCCAGCCGCACTGTGAAGGGTCTCTGCTCTGCGCTCCTGACCTTGATGCTGCGAGTTCTGAACCTGTGTGCCACAGCCTGCGTGGGGAGAGCAAGGAGGGCCTGTGAGGGCGTCCCTCCCCTGCCTGGGCTGTGTGCTGGGTGGGACAGAAAATGACATTGCTCTGGATTTCCTCTTTAACCTCAGATGTGACACAAAGAGAATCCTTTCTCTGTATTCAGAACCTGGCACTGACCAGCAGGGATGAGAGTGACCAGCAGGGATCAGAGTGACCAGCAGGGAGGGCAGTGACCAGCAGGGATCAGAGTGACCAGCAGGGATCAGAGTGACCAGCATGGATCAGAGTGACCAGAATGGATCAGAGTGACCAGCAGGGATGGCACTGACCAGCAGGGATCAGAGTGACCAGCAGGGATGGCACTGACCAGCAGGGATGAGAGTGACCAGCAGGGATGAGAGTGACCAGCATGGATCAGAGTGACCAGAATGGATCAGAGTGACCAGCAGGGATCAGAGTGACCAGCAGGGATCAGAGTGACCAGAATGGATCAGAGTGACCAGCAGGGATCAGAGTGACCAGCAGGGAGGGATCTGGGGCTTTGGCTCAAACATCCAGACTTTTCCACAGAAAATAATTACAGGGTGGCCCCAAATCCCCCTCCTCCCCACAGGGTTGCCCCTTTCCCTGCTGTTGAGGGGATTTTGGCCCTGAGGATCCCACGGGTACTCACTGAGAATGAGCGTCCTGCCAAGTTGCTGGTCCTGATGATTTCAGTGATGGTCACAGTGAGGCAGCCCGGGCCTGGGACAGAAGCAGAGGTTGGGCTGGGGCCATGGCACAGCCTCAGCTCAGCTCTGGGGACCCTGCCCCACATTTGGGTGCACTATGGACACACAGGGCTCAGCAGGCTCCAAGGGCACAGGAACTGTGTGGGATCGTGCCCAGGGTGGAAAGCCCACAGGCTGTGCTAAGGGGCAGCTGGAAGAGGACGGCTGGAGCAGAGGGAAGATGCTGGAATCCTGTCTGAGCCTCAGGCACGTCATTCCTGAGCAAACCCCAACCAGACCGTGGGGACACCGATATTCCTGTCACTGGTCCCACCCCCAGAGCCCAGACACAGCTGGCACCAAGGGCCGTGGGCAGATCCACTGCTCTGAGCACCAGGAACCCCAGGAAGCAGGAAGAACCCACCTGCAGCCTCCTCAGCGGGGATGGCTTTCATCAGCAGGCCCGAGGAGCGCAGGGACAGCGCCAGCTCCTTCTGCCGCTCGCTGAGCACAACCTGCAGGAAGGGGAGAGTGCTGGCAGTGCCCTGGCAGTGCCCTGGCATTCAATGCCCTGGCAGTGCCCTGGAAATACCCTGGCAGTGCCCTGGAAGTGCCCTGGAAATACCCTGGCAGTGCCCTGGCAGTGCCCTGGAAATCAATGCCCTGGCAGTGCCCTGGCAATCAATGCCCTGGCAGTGTCCTGGAAATACTCTGGAAGTGCCCTGACAATGCCCTGGCAGGGCTGGGCACAGCTTGTCACAAGCACAGGGGAGCTAACAGGTTGAGCACAGCCCCTGTCCTTGCCTGGACAGCAATTCCAGAGGGAAGAGGGAGGTCAGTGCCCTTTTAGGAGACCTGTGCCCTGCTGGAGCAGAGACTGGGGGTGCAGGAGCCCCACTCACCCTCCTGTAGGTCACTGTGAGGTCCATGCCAGGCCCATCCAGGGTGCTTTTCCTCTTGGTCGTGCTCAGCTCTGCCAGGAGGGAACCAGGTGGGGTTGACTCTCCCTCCTCCCACCTGTCTGTGCTCAGCAGAGAGGGATCCCCCCAGGGCTGAGCCCCCCGGTGTCCCACCATGGCCTCCTGTCACACTTTGTCCCTTCTGTCCCTCTCTTGGCAGCTGGGGCTCTGTGCCAGTGGGACAGACCCACTGCAGGCTCCGTGCCAGCCTCAGTGACAAATGTCCCTGAATGGGCACCAGAGTGCACTGACAGAGGATCTGGGTGGCACTGCTGGAGCAGCCTCCAAGCGCTCCTGCTCCAGCCCTGGCAGCTCGAGGAGCTGGATTTCTACCAGGAAACATCTGGCTGTGAGGCTCAGCTTGTTTCCTCCACTACCTCAGGGCTCAGGTTCAGCTCCCGAGTGCCCTGGAGCCGACCAGAGGCTCAGACTGCAAACCCTGGCTGGGCCAGGAGCCAGCAGGGCCCACATCAGCCTGGTCTCCTGGGACAGCAGGGACGGGGAGGTGGTCAGGGAGGTCTGGCCAGGAACAAGGAGTGCTGCCCATGGCCTGGAGCTCTGCAGGCTGAGGGGGCACCTGGGCATGGCAGGAGCCCTGTCCGGGCTGCTGGGACACACACACCTCTGGGAGAGGGGCTGTCCTGCACCTGCGTCAGCAGCTCCGTCAGGAACACGTCCTCAGCTGGGTCCTGGGCTGGGTCCTGGAACAGCACCTGGAAGAGAGACAGAGCCCTGAGAGACACAGCCCTGACAGGAACGGCACTGAGAGACACAGCCCTGAGAGACACAGCCCTGGGAGGAACAGCCCTGGGAGGAACAGCCCTGAGAGACACAGCCCTGAGAGTCACAGCCCTGACAGGAACAGCCCTGAGAGTCACAGCCCTGACAGGAACAGCCCTGAGAGACACAGCCCTGAGAGACACAGCCCTGACAGGAACGGCACTGAGAGACACAGCCCTGAGAGACACAGCCCTGGGAGGAACAGCCCTGGGAGACACAGCCCTGACAGGAAGAGCCCTGACAGGAACAGCCCTGAGAGACACAGCCCTGGGAGGAACAGTCCCGGGAGACACAGCCCTGATGGGAACAGCCCTGAGGACATCTGCTCTGTCACCCCGAGGTGTCACACGAGGTTTGTGCCCTGGACAGCCTCTCCAGAGCAGCCCCGGGGGCTGGGGGCTGGCCATGGCACGCAGGGTTCCTGTGGGCCGGGGGAGCTGCCCTGGCTCCGTTTCCTGAGCTCCAGGAGGGTGGGAGCCTTGCCAGAACGCGGGGACCTGGCCAGCCCGGCCACGGGCACTGTCCCCGGCCACTGGATGTCACTGTGCCCTCGGAGATGAGTCACTCCTATTCCCCAGGCCAGGCTGAGCTGCTGCTGAGCTTCAGGGGACGCTGTTCCTCTCTGACCCAACCGCAACGGGCAGCTCACCCCAGCCCTGGGGATTATTTCCTTTTCACGGGCCTGAATTGGGCAGGATGTGCAGAGCAGGTCCTGGAGATCCTGTCCCAGCCACTCTGCAATAGGTGCCACAGTGGCTGTGAGCAGATTAAAAAGAGCTCTGTGCATCAGCCTGAGCTTTGGAGGGGCTGCCAGAGGAGCAGGGAGGGAAGGGTTAATGTTGAATGCCCGAATTTAGCCCTTCTTTGCTCTCCTATCGAATGCCAGCCCTGGCTGTGATAGCGCCCCAGAGCAAAGCTGGCAGGAAATCCAGCAAAGGGCGCTGCAGGAAGCCCTGCAAAGCCCCCGCAGGGACAGGGGGGTTCTGGTGCTCTGCCCAGCAGAGCCCTGCTCGCTCCCAGCACCCAGAGCAGCAGGAACAGGGCTCCTGAGCACCCTGAGCCCGGCAGGGCGGGACACCCCCGACCCTGAGGGGGATTGCAAGGCTCCCTGTGCTGGGCTGGGATCCCCAAATGGCCCTGCCAGGGGCACTGGCTCTGAGCTGAGCTCCAGGATCATGGGCTGGGATCTGCTGGGAGCCCCCTCTGGCTCTGCCCAGCTCTGCCCGCCCCTGCAGGGCTGTGCCAGCTGTGCCAGCTGTGCCAGCTGTGCCACCCACCTTGACAGAGTGCACCTGGAAGCAGACGGGCTGCGTGCCCATGCGGGCGTAGTAGGCGATGACGTCGGTGAGGAACAGGTCGGTCACCAGGGCCCTGCTGGGCTGGGGGACAAACCACAGGCTGGCTCAGCCCCTGCCTCTTCTCAGAAACCCTGCCACGAGGCCTCACACCTTCCTGGGCACCGAGGGAGGGATGAGCTGTCCTCTGGCCTCGCCACTCACAGGGAGCAGGAGCTGAGCCCCCCTCGCAGCCCGTTCTGTGTGGGCAGGCAGTGGTGGCTCAAAGTGCCAGGAAATGACAGCTGGGGGGATTTCAGCACAAGTTTTCTTTCTTGAAATCTGCCATTTCCTGTCCCCTGGTCAAAAAACCCCACCACAGCAAATGGCTTTTGTGGGCTGGGGCAGTGTCAGACACGGGCACCTCCTGGGGAGGGTTGGCAGGGGAAATCTCTGTCTTGGCTGGAGAGCCCTGCGGGGCCTGGGGAGGGTTTGGAGGGGAAATGTCTGGGGCTGGAGAGCCCTGCAGGGCCTGGGAAGGGTTTGGAGGGAAATCTCTGCCTGGGATGGAGAGCCCTGCAGGGCACAGAGCCCTCCCCAGGGGCTGCAGGTGTTTTTGGGACATGGGAAGGTTTTCCTCCTACCATGGTGGCCAGCTTGGGGATCATGTGGCACAGGGTGTTGATGTTGCTCTCGTACCAGGGGTCAGCCCTGCCCAGGTACCTGGCCACCTCGCACAGCTCCTCGGGGCCAGCGTGCTCCTGCAGGGAAACGCAGCTCACAGCCACAGCCGGGGAATGTTTGCTTTGCCTGGGCTTGTATTGAGCAAAACGTGAGGAGAAAACCCTGGAGAGCCCCTCCCAGCCACTTCCAGCCCTAAATCCAGCTCCTCTGGGACTTGGCTCACACTTGGCTCACACTCAGAGATGGCTCTCCCCATTCCCCGGACTGGCAGGAATTCCCGTTCCCCTGCTCTCCCCATCCCCCGGACTGGCAGGAATTCCCGATCCCATCCCCTGGACAGACAGGAATTCCCAATCCCATCCCCCAGACAGACAGAAATTCCCGATCCCATCCCCTGGACAGACAGGAATTCTGGATCCCATCCCCCAGACAGACAGAAATTCCCGATCCCATGCCCCAGACCGGCAGGAATTCCCGATCCCCAGCTCTCCCCATCCCCCAGACAGACAGGAATTCCCGATCCCCAGACCGGCAGGAATTCCCGATCCCATGCCCCAGACCGGCAGGAATTCCCGATCCCCAGCTCTCCCCATCTCCCACCCCCGGCACTCACAGCAGCCGAGGGCTGGGGCTGTGCCGGCACCACGGGGATGTGGTAGAACTGCAGGTCCAGCCTGGGCGTCAGGAACACTCGGCGGGCCTCCCGCTTCCTGAAACGCGAGCGGAGACGTCCCGAGGGCCGGGGCAGAGGGCAGGGCAGTGCCAGGACACGGCCTCTGCTCTGCCACCTGCCCCCCTCGCTGCCTCCTTTCCCGGGATGTGCCCTGGGCTCCCAAATCAAGCAAGGGGAGGTGATGGGGAGGAGTTTTTGTCAGGTCCTGGTGTCCCTGTGCACTCAGCTCTGCTCCCAGGCTGCCCACACTGTCACCCACCCCACCCGGGGGAACCAGCTGGGAAACAGCTTCTTTGTGGGATTTTTCCACTGTCTCGTTTGTTGTTCGTTTAACCGAGCCCCCGGACAGAGGGGAGGACAGGCTGTGTGCATCACTCGGGCCATGAGAGCCGCCGGGGACAGTCGGGTGCGTTTGGGAGCCGAGCACGGGATCCGAGCCCGCCCCCAGCCCCAGCCCCGGCCCCAGCCCCAGCTCCAGCCCCAGCCCCAGCCCCAGCCCCCCGGCTGCTCCCACAGCCCCAGCCCCAGCCCCAGCCCCAGCCCCGGCTGCTCCCACAGCCCCAGCCCCAGCCCCAGCCCCAGCCCCAGCCCCAGCCCCAGCCCCAGCCCCGGCTGCTCCCACAGCCCCGCTGTGCTCCTTCCCCCCCAGCCCGGCCGGCCGCAGGTACCTGAGCGAGTGGAAGGCTTGTGCCAGGCGGCCCAGGATGCGATCGTCCCCCAGCAGCACCACGCGGGCGCTGTGCAGCCTCTGCAGCGGGGCCGGGGGCTCGGGGGCCATCCCCGCCCTCCCGAGGGCCTTCCCGGGGCCCTTCCCGCCGCCAGCCTGCAGCAGGGCCACGCTGTCCAGCGGCGACGGCTTCTTCTTGATGCCGCCCTTCCTGTGCAGCCGGGAGCGCTCGCAGGGCTCCTCCGGCGCGGGCAGGTCCCGCTCGATGCCGCTGTCCGTGGACAGCACCGAGAAGCGGCTCTGGCCGCAGCAGCCGCAGTCTGGCAGCGAGTCCGGCATCTCCATGGGCTCCAGCTCCTGCCCCAGGCCCTCGGGCTCGCAGCTCTGCGACAGCGGCCGCAGGAACAGCACCAGCTCCTTCCCTGCGGGCACGGAGCGCCTGAGCGGGGACAGGGACACCGCCTGCTCCTGCCCCAGCTGCCTTCCCCCTGGGGAGCCCTGAGCTGAGAGCAGGAACAGCCCCAGCTCCTTCCCTGAGAGCCTGAGCGGGGACAGGGGCACAGAGGGGCTCAGCCTGGTCCTGCCCCAGCTGCTCTCCCCTCAGGGAACCCGCAGAGCTGAGGGCTCCGAGGGCAGCCAGTCCTCAGCCCCAGTGCCCACCGAGAGAGCTTGGTGCTGCTCCAGCCCCAGAACCCCAGAGTGGTTCGGGTTGGGGGGGACCTTGAGGATCATCCTCATTCCCAACCCTGCCATGGCAGGGACACCTTCCACCGGAGCAGGCTGCTCACAGCTCCACCCAGCCTGGCCTTGGGCACTGCCAGGGGCACCCACAGGTGCTCTGGGCACTGCCAGGGACACCCACAGGTGCTCTGGGCACGTCCTGCTGCAGCCCCAGCTCCTTCCCCCTCCTCCTCACCAGGAAGGAGGCCTGGGGCAGTCAGCGCCCATCTCCATGAGCTTGGCCCTGGGACAGTGGTGCCCAAACTCCCTGCCCACGGGTCAGGGCTCAGTGACCCCTCTGGGACAGGACCCCCAGGCTCAGACCCCCCCAGCGCCCCCAGCCCTGGGGCACTCACAGAGCTGCTCATCTTCTGTCCACAGGTGGAAGCTGATGTTGGGGCTGGGCAGAGGGGTGCCCTGCAGCCCTTCCTGGGGAGCATTCCCTGGGAAAACAAGGGTGCTTGGAGCATTTCCCCACACAGGAGCACGAGCCCCAGCACTGAGCGCTGGCTGGGGCAGCCCTGGGGCTCTCCCTGCCCAGAGCTGCTGGGTGAGGCCAGATGTGAGGCTGTGCAGCCCCTGCTCTCACAAACCGAGCCATGCCCAGGTGTCTGCAGCACTGCTGGGAGGGAGAAATGGAAGGGGGGAACTGGGCCAGGGGCAGGAGTGACACAGGGACACAGGAGGACACCAGGGCTCCCTGTGCCATGGGAATGCCTGCCTGGGCTCACCTTTGGGCGAGGAGCCCAGGAGGCTGTGGTAGATCCTCTCCAGCCGCGCCGTGCGCTGGCCCCGGTCCGAGCCCCCCTCGCTGCCCTCCACGGCCGCCACCACCTGCTGGAACCAGTGCTCCACATCCCCCGGGGGCAGGGCCTGCGGGACAGGGGCTGTGAGCGCCTGGAAACGGGGAATGATCCACGGCCAGGGCAGCGGGAGGGGCAGGGACAGCAAATGGGTCCTGCAGAAAGGGATTCCTGCAGAGAGAGCAAGTGGGTCCTGCAGAAAGGGATTCCTGCAGGGACAGCAAATGGGTCCTGCAGAAAGGGATTCCTGCAGGGAGAGCAAATGGGTCCTGCAGAAAGGGATTCCTGCAGGGAGAGCAAGTGGATCTGCAGAAAGTGATTCCTGCAGGGAGAGCAAGTGGGTCCTGCAGAAAGTGATTCCTGCAGGGAGAGCAAGTGGGTCCTGCAGAAAGGGATTCCTGGGGGACACCAATGTCCTCCTGTCCCCAGCAGACGCTGGCTGTGCTGGCTGCTCACAGCTCCTTTGGGGGCAGCTTGGCAGCTGTGCTGGCACTTGGGGTGACCCTCGGGCCATGGGGACAGCAGGCACATGAGGGTGGCCTTGGAGTGGGAATTGCCGGGAGCCCCTGCCAAGTGACTGAGGCAGACATTTGTGCCACTGCAGCCCCACAGCTCCTTCCAGGAGGGTTTGGAGAAAACTGGCTGAAACCTTTCCCCTGAGAGGTTCCCGCAGTGCCCAGCAGCTCCCAGGGGAGCTGACAAGAGGCTCTGTCCCAGCTTTGCTGGGCAAAACCAGCACTGAGACCGAAGGTTCCCCCTCTGGCTCTGCTGTTTTCCATCCGAAGGGTGTCTGAGCTCAGCCCAGCCCAGCTCTGGGGCCGCAGCACTGGGGAGCTGGGGGGGTTTCTCCACTTCCCAAAGCACCGTTTGCTCCTGCAGGCTGTGCAGAGCGGGAGCAGGGGGAGCAGGGGAGGAGCTGCTGCAGTACCTGGAGGCGGGCCCTGAGGCCGGCGGTGTCGCAGGTGTCCCCCAGGGCCGCCTGCAGGGCGTGGGTGACCACGCAGCTCATGCAGCCCCGCGGGCTCTGGGACACCTGGGCAGCCTGGGTGTCCATGGCCAGAGCCCTGCAGATGGCTTCGGGCAGCAGCTCGGGGTCAGCGAAGATGAAAATCCTGCGGGGGAAAGGGGGAGATGCAGCCTCACACCAGAGCCCCCGGGGCTGGCAGGAGCAGCTCCCGTCTCACTTTTTCCATTGTTGCTGTTCCCCTTCTCCACCCTGTGTGCCCCGCGAGGGCAGCTCCCTGCCTCCCAAAGTAATTGGGACACACCAGAATGTGCCCTCCCCGTGCAATCCCGGTGAGGTACTGGGTGTCACCCCGTGGTGTCCCCAAGGCCACGAGGCTCAGCCCCAGGCTGTCTGCTCCTACCGAGAGTGCTGGGAAAGGACGGGTTTCCCTGAGAGACCCCAAAATGACAGTGAAATGACAGTAAAATGACAGTAAAATGACAGTGAAATGACAGTAAAATGACAGCACAGCCCCTCCCGGGGCAGCACTCACCTGTCCTGGCAGGGGAAGGCGGCGCTGGGCAGGCTCTGCTCGGAGATGACCGTCCTCTGGTACAGGGTCCCTGCCAAGGACAAACACGGCCGGTAGGAGCGGCACAGCCCTCGGGGCAGCCAGCCCGGGCTGCTCCCGGCTCTGCAGCCTGAGGAGGCTCTGCCAAGGCGGGGAACACCCGCTGAGCTCAGCTTAAACAGCCAAGAGCTGGGCCAGAGCTAAAAACAGCCCAGGACAAAGATAGCCCAGGCTCCAGAAAAAGAAACCCCCGTCTGTTCCGGGTGATTTCCTGTGTTTCCCTTCCTTTGTTTGGGGCATTAGGAGCAGGCAGGAGGGAGAGCTCTGTCCCCAGGGCCACTGGGGACATCTGAGGAGCTCCAGGGGTCTCTGGGTCAGGAGAGAGGCCCTGCCCTGCCCTGCCCTGCCCAGGGCTGGGGCTCCATCCCTGGCCTGGCTCAGGGACAATGCCCTGGGACCCCCGTGCTGCCCCAGGGGAGCCCTGCTGGAGATCCCCTCTGTGCACCCTGAGCCAGCCCTGCCCCCAAGCTCAGGGACACAGAGGGGACACTCAGGGGTCCCCCTTGGAGCCAAAGCAGCGCTGGGGAGCAGAGCTTGGGCTGCTGGGGAGGGCTGAGGCTCCCCAGAATGGCACCAAAATTCCCCAGCAGGATTCCCCTGCTTCCCTCCCCATCACAGGGTGTCTGCACCTCGCTCTGCTCTAAAGGATTGTTTGAAAGGCTCCTGTTACAGAAAACTAGAACTGGAGGAACTTCAATGAGAACAGAGAAAAAGAACACGGAGCAAAAAGAAATCAGGTGTCCTTGGGCTTGCTTCCTGCACGGGGCTGTTCCCTGCAGCCCCTCTGACACCTCAGTGCCCACGGCGCTGCTTTAGAGCTGATCAGCTCCTGCCAGCCCCCCTTACCTGGGGCTGCCCTCTCCAGCTGCAGCCTGCTGGCATAGTCCAGCCCGATGGTGCAGAAGGGCTTGGGCAGGGTCAGCAGCCTCTTGCAGAAGTCATAAACCCTGGCACAGAGCTCGTCAGGGATGCAGGGAGCCTGCAGGGGCACAGGGGGGTGACAGGGAGGTGACAGGCAGTGACCCCTGAATCTGCCCCAACACAGCCCCCAGGCTGGGAGGGCACCAAATTCACTGCACTGAATTCACTCTGGATTTAAATGTAGAACATGGGGCAGAATCGGGCCCTGCAGGGGTTTGGGAGCCTCCAGGAATGCCCACTGGAGCCTGGGCACGCCTTTGCTTTGCCAGGCACTGAAAGGCCCCCAGCAAAGGGCTCAGGTAGGTGGCAGGAGCTGGCACTCCGTGTGCCACAGGGACATGGGAGATGCCCATCTGAGCCCACCTGGGGCTGTCCCGGGGCTCTGCTGCCTCTGAGGGGCTGCTCCAGGTTCTGAGTGGCTCCGGTGGCCTCTCCTGTGCGCTGATGTCCCCCGGGTGCTGCCGTGCCCCGGTGCTGCCTCACCTGGATCAAGGTGTACATCAGCGTGTGCAGCAGGGGGATGATGTAGTGCCGCAGGTCCCCTCGCTCTGCCTGTGGGAGCAGAGGCAGGGCAGGCACAGTCAGCCCCTGGCAGGACCCTGTGCTGGGCAGAGCAGCCCCAGAGCCCCCAGCGTGGGCCAGGCTGCCTGGGTGGCACTGTCCCCGCCCTGGGTGGCACTGTCCCCTCCCTTTGTGGCACTGTCCCCTCCCTGGGTGGCACTGTCCCCTCCCTGGGTGGCACTGTCCCCTCCCAGGGTGGCACTGTCCCCGCCCTGGGTGGCACTGTCCCCTCCCAGGGTGGCACTGTCCCCTCCCTTTGTGGCACTGTCCCCTGCCTGGGTTGCACTGTCCCCTCCCTGGGGTGGCACTGTCCCCTCTCTGAGGTGGCACTGTCCCCGCCCTGGGTGGCACTGTCCCCTCCCAGGGTGGCACTGTCCCCTCCCTTTGTGGCACTGTCCCCTCCCTGGGTGGCACTGTCCCCTCCCTGGGTGGCACTGTCCCCTCCCTTTGGAGCACTGTCCCCTCCCAGGGTGGCACTGTCCCCTCCCAGGGGTGGCACTCACCCTCTCCAGCTCCTTCACCAGGATGCTGACCAGGACACAGCTGGTCCTGGGGTTCTGGTCCATTCTCTTGTGCAGGGTCCAGCGCAGCATTCCTGAGGAGGGACAGCAGGGGTGGGACTCTGCAGGGGTGACAGTGACCCCGGGTGGCACAGGGTGACAATGCTGGGGCTGTGCAAGGGTGACAGTCACACAGGGTGACAATGCTGGGGCTGCACAGGGTGTCACACAGGGTGACACAGGGTGACAATTCTGGGGCTGTGCAGGGGTGACAGTCACACAGGGTGACACAGGGTGACAATGCTGGGGCTGTGCAGGGGTGACAGTCACACAGGGTGACACAGGGTGACAATGCTGGGGCTGTGCAGGGGTGACAGTCACACAGGGTGACACAGGGTGACAGACGCTGCTGGGGCACGGGTGCAGCTGGTGAAGGATCTGTCCCCTCCCGCAGAGGGCTCGGCAGGGCGGATGAGCGGAGTCAGTCCCCAGGTCCCCGCGGGCAGCGGGAGGAGCGGGGCCGGGGCGGGCGGGGCCGGGGCAGGAGGGGCCGGGGCAGGCGGTGCCCGGGCAGGAGGGGCCGGGGCAGGCGGTGCCCGGGCAGGAGGGGCCGGGGCAGGCGGGGCCGGGGCAGGAGGGGCCGGGGCGGGCGGTGCCCGGGCAGGAGAGGCCGGGGCAGGCGGTGCCCGGGCAGGAGGGGCCGGGGCAGGCGGTGCCCGCGGTGCCCGCGGTGCCCGGGCAGGGGCAGTCGCTCACCTCGGTCGCTCTGGCAGGAGGGGTGGTGCCCGTCCAGCTCCCGCAGCAGCGCCCGCACCCGCCGCAGGATGTCCGACTCCAGCTCTGCAGGGGACAGCGACACCTGAGCTTCTCCTGGCAGCCTGCTCCTCTTTACAGGTTTGCAGAGGATAAAAAGCTGAGCTTTCTCTTCATTATATCCCCTTAAAGATGGTATCACTGCCTCGTACATGTGGTTAATGAAATAACTGACTTCTTCATCCCTTTTTGTGAGCAAGCACAGGCCCAGCCTGCAGCTCCCAGCTAGGCTGGCTGTGCTAAACTTGATACCCCAAATGCCTACAGGCTCTATGTCAGATCCCTCAGCCGTGTCTCTAAGCAAAGAGAGCTAAACATTTGGCTGAAATCTCAGTTTTGGCTCACAGATAAGTGTGAACTGTTCAGAAATTCCCCTTTGGATCCAGGTTCTGCTGCCTTTCCCGCACAGGTGGCTCTGGGAATGGCTTTGGAGCTGCGGTAGGGAACAGCCCCAGGCTCAGGGCCAGCAGTGCTGCCCTGCTGAGGGTCTGTGCGTGCACAGGGAGCCCCATCCCTGCTGCAGCACCAAAACCTCCTCAGGACACGGCCTCTGTCTCCTTTAGGAGGTGTCATTGGAGAAACGTCTCAGAAACTCCTCTTTCCTCACCCTTGGTTTCCCCTCAGGGATTTTGGGAAGCTCCCCATGTCCCTCTCCTGTTTATTGGGAATTCTGCCTCAAAGGGCTGTTTGAAATGGGCTGCTCTTTTCCTTTGTGTGTGTTTGTAACTGCCAGGGGAGGCTTTTCCTGAGCACCGCTCTCAGTCCTGGCCTCTCCTCCTCATCAAAGCAGCCCCAGCGCTGAGGGTCCCTCACAGGGCAGAGCAAAGAGCTTGACCCAGCACAAACAAGAGGCACTTTGATCTAAAAACAGCAAAAAATAAACCCAGCAACAAAGAGCAGCGGCTTGGAAATGGAATAAAACCTTTCAGCATTGACATCCTGACCCTGGGAGATCAACAGCACCTCTGAAACAGCATGAAAATGAAACGTGGGGGAAATGGACTGAAATACACACACACAAAATAAGAGTAAAATATACTACTATAAAATTTAAAAAAATACTACTATAAAATGAAAAATAATAAAAATTAATAAAAATAATAAAATATATTACTATAACATATACTACTATAAAATAAAAAGTAATAATAAAATCTACTACTATAAAATAAAAATTAATAATAAAATCTACTACTATAAAATAAAAATAATAATAATAATAATATATAGTACTATTAAATAAAAAATAATAATAAAATATACTACCATAAAATAAAAAATACTACTATAAAATAAAAATAATTAAAAAAAGTAAAATACACTACTATAAAATAAACTGCTTTAAAACTCAAACGTTTTGTCAGCTGTGAGTGCCCCAGACCCAGCAAAGCTTTTGGCTGCCTCTGCACTGCCCTGTGCCCATTTCCCACCTTCCAGCAGCACCTGGCAGCGCCTTGGGCAGCGCCCAGGTGTTCGAACAGAGGGCGGGGGGTGTAAGGGGTGGGTGAGGGGGAATTGCCCCGGGGCTCAGCATCACCCACCTGAGCTGTCCATGGCCGGGCCGGGCTGCAGCTCCTGGGGCACCAGCGCGGGGCTGCTCACGGCGCTGGGGCATGGCCCTGCAGGGAACGGAACAGGCGGGCTCAGGGTGAGCGGGGGGAGCACGAACGCTCCGGGACCCCCTGGGACCCCCTGGGACCCCCTGGGATCCCCTGGGACCAGGACAGAGCCCGGGGGAGCACGGGCGGTGTTTGGGGCAGAATCCCCAGCTCGGGGCTGCCGCCACTGCCAGTCCCGGGGCTGGAGCTGCTGCTGGGTGAGCTCGGAGCCCCCCGGAGCTCGGAGAACCCCGAAGCTTGGGAGACCCCCGGAGTTCGCACACCCCTGGAGCCCGGACACCCCCAGAGCTCGCACACCCCCGGAGTTCGCACACCCCCAGAGCTCGCACACCCCTGGAGCCCGGACACCCCGGAGCTGTGAGACCCCGGAGCTGTGAGACCCCGGGGCTCGGACACCCCAGAGCTGTGAGACCTCGGAGCTGTGAGACCCCCAGAGCTGTGAGACCCCAGAGCTTTGAGACCCCCAGAGCTGTGAGACCCCGGAGCTCGGACACCCCCGGAGCTGTGAGACCCCAGAGCTTTGAGACCCCCAGAGCTGTGAGACCCCGGAGCTTGGACACCCCCGGAGCTCGTCAGACCCCCGGAGCTGGGAGATCCCTAGAGCTCGGAGCCCCCCGAAGCTCGGCGCTCCCCGAAGTTCGGCGCTCCCCGGAGCTCGGAGCCCCCCGGAGCCCGGACACCCGCGGAGCTCGTCAGACCCCTGGAGCTGGGAGCCCCCGGAGCCCGGACACCCCCGGAGCTCGGACACCCCCGAAGCTCGGCGCTCCCCGGAGCTGGGAGATCCCTGGAGCTGTCAGACCCCCGGGGCTCAGAGCCCCCCGGAGCTGGGAGCCCCCCGGAGCCCCCCGGAGCCCGGCCACCCCCTCGCTGCCCCGGCTGCTCTCGGCGCTCGCTGCCGGAGGAAGCAGCCGCTCGCGGAGTGCGGCCGAAGGTGTCGGTGGCTCCCCACATCCGCATCCTCCCGGCGCTGCGGGGGCGGGCGCTGCCGGCCTCCCACAGCTTCCAAATTTAGCAAAGGGCAACGTGAGCCCGAGAAACTCCGCTTCCCGCTTCTCCTGCCTGCTCCAAAGGGCTCCCTTGGCTCCCTGGCAGCAGAGAGCCGCTGAGGCTGAGGCACAGGGCACGGCTTGCTCCCAGTGCTCGGGTCTCCCGGGAAAATCCAACATAAAGAGACAGAACAGGTCCCCAGCAGGCTCAGGACAGTCACGCTGCCCAGGGGGACAGGCAGGAGTCGTGGGAGAGGGGCATGAGAGGACAGGCACAGGAAGAGGCTCTGAGGAGCACTGGGGTCAGGCAGGGTCCTGCCAGCTCCAGCCACTGCTTCCCCCTGGCCAGGAGCAGCACAAGAACCCAAAGGAGCAGAACTTCCCCTTTTCATGGGGATGTTCCTGAGCAGCACAGGAACCCAAATGAACAGAAATTCCCCTTTTCCCTGGGAATGTTTCTGAGCAGCACAGGAACCCAAATGAACAGAAATTCCCCTTTTCATGGGAATGTTTCTGAGCAGCACAGGAACACAAACAAACAGAAATTCCCCCTTTTTCATGGGAATGTTCCTGACCAGCACAGGAACCCAAACGAGCAGAAATTCCCCCTTTTCATGGGAATGTTTCTGAGCAGCACAGGAACCCAAATGAGCAGAAATTCCCCCTTTTCATGGGGATGTTCCTGACCAGCACAGGAACCCAAAGGAGCAGAAATTCCCCTTTTCATGGGAATGTTTCTGAGCAGCACAGGAACCCAAATGAGCAGAAATTCCCCCTTTTCCCTGGATGTTCTCTGCCTGCTGTGCTCCCCAGGGTGGGGGCACAGCCCCTCAGCCCTGCTGTGCCCATCCCAGGCCCAGCAGGGCAGCAGGGATGATGCCAGCCCACAGGAATGGTGCTGGGCACCCCGCTGCAGGCAGCCCCTCTGTGTGCCAAACCCTCCTGAGAGGATCCCTGACCCCAACAACAGGAGCTGCCCCCATTTCTGGGGATGGGCCCTGCGCCGGTCCCAGCCCCTGCTGGACTCAGCCCCTTTCCCTGGAGCCCCTCCGTGCTCCAGGAAGGCTGGGAAGGTTCCCTGGCCCACCCCTGGAGGGCTCTGTGCCCTCTGTGCCCCTCATCCCTGCAGCAGGCACGAGGCACAGCTCATCCCATCCCTGGGTGTTTTGCTGTCTGCCAGCTCAGCAAGAGCAGAGCCTTCTCTGCATTCATCCCACTTCTTTGCAGAGCTGCAAATCTCTGCTTCCTCCCTGCAATTCCTAAAATACCCGTGGCATCAGCTGGATTTTATTCCCTTTGCAGGGAAAAAAATGAAAAAGGACGGGCAAGAAGAGTCGTCACAATTCTCCCTTCAGGTTTCAATAATTCTGAGATTCATAGGACAAAAATCCAAAATGACACCAAAACTGCCTTCCCCAAGAGTTTGGGGCAGTGTTGGGGAACACGTGGCTCTGTTCTTAAAAATGCAGGACTTGGCAGTGAAAGTGCAGCTCTCCCTGGACCCTGGCAGATAAATTCACGGGTTAAAGGGAATTGCAGGGTTAAAGGGAACCCTCCTGCTCCAAACTGCAGGAGACAGCAGAGCAGGACCTGGCTGAGCACGGGGTGCTGAGCACCCCCCAAAGCCTCCTCAGCCCCTCCTCTGCAGGGCAGCAGCCCGGGGGCCCAGGGTCAGAGCTGTTTGTACCAGTGCCCCATCCCAGCCCCGCTAATCCCAGGGGAGGCTCTGTCCCACTCTGGGATCCTCCAGCCTCTGCTCCTCTCCATCCTCCCCCTGCTCATCCCTCTGAAGCTCCTTCCTCCTAAGCAGGGATCCCCAGCTCGGGTCCAGGTGTGCACAAGGAAATTGTCACCTCCCTCCAGGGTTGTCCCTTCCCTAATCCTTACAGGCAGGGGGGACACTGAGGACGCCACACTGAATGCTGGGGACACCACCCTGAATGCTGGGGACACCACCCTGAATGCTGGGGACACCATCTCGAGCACTGGGGACACCACCCCCCAGTGCTGGGGACATCACCCCCCAGTGCTGGGGACATCATCTCGAGTGTTTGGGACACCACCCCCAGTGCTGGGGACATCACCCCCCAGTGCTGGGGACATCACCCTGAATGCTGGGGACATCATCCCGAGTGTTGGGGACACCACCCCCAGTGCTGGGGACACCCCCCCAGTTCCCTCTCCCTTCTCTTGGGCAGATCACGAGCACCAAAGGCGCTGTCACCAGCTGGGTTCCACAGCTCAAACATCGCCCCGGTGGCCTTTGGGTGTGTCGGGGGGGTCCTGGGCAGCAGCAGGGACAGCCAGCAGGTCACTGTCCCTGCGGGGCCATCGGTCCCCGCACAGAGCCCAGGCCGGGCTGCTCCGTGTCCTCCAGGGAGGAGGATCCACACCCACCCAGCCCTGGGCTCATCCTGCAGGAGAGCACAGCCCCGACCCCACAAAGGGACATCTCCAGCCATGGCAGGGGCTGGAGCTCAGCCCTGGGGAGCCCTCGGGGTGGGACTGGAGTCCCCCTGAGGGATGGGGACGTGCCCATGCAGGGGCGTCACTGCAGCCCCACCGCGGGGACTCAGGCTGCCCCCGGAGGTGTGGGGCTGGCTCCCCAAACCCCTCCTGCTCTGTGCCACCGCCTATGAGCACTCGGAAATCACTGAGCGCCAACCACCCCCGGCCAGGTGAAACACAGAAATAGAGAGGCACAGAAATAGCTGAAGAGAGGCAGAAATAGCCACGGAAGAAAACCCAACCCCAAACCCTCGGGTGGTGAGAGCTGGGCTGGCAGTAACGAGGCTCCCCGGGAAGCTCCAGCATGTCCGGGATCCTCTCCCTGCTCCCGGCACACCCCAAATGCCCCACCTGGAGCCGGGCTGGTCCCTGTCCCGCTGCTCGGGGCCAGCGCAGCCCCAGCAGGACGCGGAGCACATCCCCGAGCTCTCTCCCGTTCTGTTTATCCGCTCCCAAGGCGCCTCCCCACGCCTCCTGCAGCCCGTGTTCGGTTACAAACTCACCGCCCGGGCACGCCGAGCTTTCACCCCGGGGCTGTTTGTGAGCTCCGGGGCAGGGACAGAGAAAGCCGCGCCTCGCACGGGCACAGAGCGGCTCTGCCACCCCAGCTCAGCCCCTTCTGAGCCCAGCTCAGCCCTTCTGAGCCCACCTCAGCCCCTCCCAGCGCACCTCAGCCCCTTCTGAGCCCACCTCAGCCCCTTCTGAGCCCACCTCAGCCCCCTCCCGGCCCAGCTCATCCCCCTCCCAGCCCAGCTCAGCCCCCTCCCAGCCCAGCTCAGCCCCCTCCCAGCCCAGCTCATCCCCCTCCCAGCCCAGCTCAGCCCCCTCCCAGCCCAGCTCATCCCCCTCCCAGCCCAGCTCAGCCCCCTCCCGGCCCAGCTCAGCCCCTTTGAGCCCAGCTCAGCCCCCTCCCAGCCCAGCTCATCCCCCTCCCGGCCCAGCTCAGCCCCTTTGAGCCCAGCTCAGCCCCCTCCCGGCCCAGCTCAGCCCCTCCCGGCCCAGCTCAGCCCTCCGCCCCGCCCCGGCCCCAGCGAGGGGGAATCGCGCCGGTACCATCGGCAGCGGGAGCGGCTCTGCCCCAGCCCGGGGGGATCGCACCGGTTCCATCGGCAGCGGCTCCAGCGCCGGCGCGTCCTGCGGGAGCCGCGGGCAGCGCTCAGCCCGACCGGACGGACCCACATGGGCTCGGTGGCGTCACGGCACGGCAGCTGGCCTGGGGACAGCCCCGGCCCGCCCCCCGTGCCGCCCTCCCGCGCTCCTGCGGCGCTGAGAGCGGCAGCAGAGCCGGGCACGGCCCCCGGTACCCGCCCAGGCCGGGCTGACTGCGGGAGCCGGCACGGCTGGAGCGGGGTGGGATGGGATGGGATGGGATGGGGATGGGATGGGGATGGGATGGGATGGGATGGGATGGGATGGGATGGGATGGGATGGGATGGGATGGGATGGGATGGGATGGGATGGGGATGGGATGGGGATGGGATGGGATGGGATGGGATGGGATGGGATGGGATGGGATGGGATGGGATGGGATGGGATGGGATGGGATGGGATGGGGATGGGATGGGGATGGGATGGGGATGGGATGGGATGGGATGGGATGGGATGGGATGGGATGGGATGGGATGGGATGGGATGGGATGGGATGGGATGGGATGGGATGGGGATGGGATGGGGATGGGGATGGGGATGGGATGGGATGGGATGGGGATGGGGATGGGAGCAGGAGGGGATGTGGCAGCTGAAGGGCCGTGTCCCCCAAGCCGTGCTGGGAATCTGACATTGCATCCTCTGGACTGCCCCAAACTGCAGCTGGCAACTCCTGAACGCTGAGAAACGGCTCCTGCATCATCCCTGGTCCCTTAATCCCCTATACCCCTTGTCCCTTAACCCCTTACATTCCTCACACCCCTCACACTCTCAGCCCTGGAGCTGCAGGGGACCCGGGCAGAGGCTGATGCTGTGTCCCGTTTGTCCCCTCCTCTCAAAGCCTGTCTGTCTGTCCGTGCAGCCGAGCCCCAGCCCAGCTGCACAGCCAGTAGGAGAGCAGGACAAGGCAGCTCTCCCTCCTCCAGTCCCCTGGCTCTGCAGGCAGCAGCAGCTCCAGGCTCCCCTGGCCAAGGATAAACAGCCAGGGCAGGGGCTGCTCCTCTCCCCTCCCTCAGCTGCTCCCAGCTCAAACAAGAACTGGGCAAAACTTTGGCTACGAGACCCAAACCCCACAGAAAGATGCCCTGGCCCCTTCCTGGCCCCTTTGGGCTCTCTGCTGGAGTGGACAGAGCTGCAGGAGAGCTGGCAGTGCCACACTGGGGCACTGGGGCCCAGCCTGAGCCCCTCGTGCTCTCATTTCCAGATTTAACTGCAGCCCTGGCAGGGCTCTGCTCCCACCAGCTTGGAGATGGAGGCAGATGCTCTCCCTGGGGCTCTCACTGCCAAGGAAGAGAATCTGGAGCCCAGACTCGGCTTTCCAGCATCTCCTTGAGGCTCCATTTGCCTGCTGGCTGCTGGGGGAAGGCTCGGCCCTGCCAGGGGGGTCCTGCCCGTGCAGGGGGGAGCACGCCCGGCCCCCGGGGTCAGTTCAGGGGTGAAACGCCTTCACTGGCCCTGCAGCGAGCGCCCATCAGCCCTGCAGAGCCCCAGCCTTTGCTGCAGCTGTGGAAGTCCAGCAGCTTCCTGGACACCACCGACTGTTTGGAGACTTCCTTGCCAACGTCACATTTCATTCTTCCTAAGGAAAGGAAAGAGTTTTCCGGAAACAGCAGCTTTTTAGATTTAGCATCTCTTTCCATCCCCAGAGTCGACTTTGGAAAAACAATCACAGGGAAAAAATAGGTGTGATCTGAGAGCCACTGCCAGGACTGTGCTCACAAACAGCCCAGGCAAGCACCTGAGGGGGAATAAGAGCAGGGAGGGCTCAGGGTACCCAAGGCAGCCCAGCTGGGAGGGGCTGTGGGTGGCACAGCTGGTCCCTGCCTCCCTCCAGAGCCATTCCCTCCCTTGGACAGGACTGTCACCAGCCCTGGGACACATCTGTGTGCCGTGCCCCAGGGCCCGGCTCCGTGCAGGGTCACAGCACTGCCCTCTCCATTGCCCAGCCCCTGCTGGCAGCTGCCCTCAGGTGACCACGGTGGGGGTGACCTGAGGAGGGCACGGAGGAACCACCTGGGGTGGCAGGAGGAGGGTGGCCAGAGTGACCCCTCAGGCTGTGTGTGGCACCCAGCCCCGTGTGCCCGGCCCGGGGGGCTCTCTTGGCACCCTGGGGAGCACAGACCCTGAGCATCTCCCTGCTTGCAGAGCTCCCGAGGGAGGGAGCAGCATCCCGAGCAGGTGAATGGTGATGGGGAGCTGGCTCTGAGCAGCCCGGGGACGCCGAGGGGAGCACTCAGGGCAGGAGCACAAAGCCCTGCGTCCTGCAGTTGGCTCCCGTGAGTTTGTTCGCAGCTCGGCCCGAGCCTGCAGATTTTTGCTTCCTTTCTGCACGGGGCCGCGCTCTCTGCTCGTTATCGCTGCTGCCATCGCTCTTTATTGCCCTGTCACCGCTGCTCGGCCCCAGGGGACAGCCGAGGCGCCGGGCCAAGGCCAGGGCAGCCACGGGACCGCGCACGCAGCCAGTGCCAGCATGGGCATCAGCCCGGCCGTGCCAGCACCGCCGGTACAGCCCCCGGGCACGGGCAGCGGGCACAGGAGCCCGGGGGTGGCACTGGGCGGGTGACTGTCCCTGGCTGCAGAACACAACAAAGCTGAGCAGCGCGGGCTGGCACCGCAGCAGCCACGGCATGGGGCGGAGCTCACACACTCACTGACACACTGACACACTGACACACTGACACACTCAGTGACACACTGATACACTGACACACTGACACACTGACACACTCAGTGACACACTGACACACTGACACATTCAGTGACACACTGACACACTCAGTGACACACTGATACACTTATGCACACACACACTCACCCAGCCGGGCCGTGCGGGGCTGTCCCGGGGCCGGAGCAGCGGCCCCAAACCAAACCCGCCCGGTGCCCGCTCCGGGCCAGGGGCAGCAAAGGCCCCGCGCTCCTGGCCGGGACAGGCTCCAGGGCCAGCCCGTGGCCGGCAGGATGCAGGGCAGCTGGCACTCCTGTTCCTCCAGCAGCACCGCCCTCATCTCCCGCAGCACCGCGGCTCCCTCCCCTCGTCCTTCCCGAGGAAAGGAATGGCTCTGTCCCAGCCTTGCCCTCCAGGCTCTGTCAGCCCTGGCATCCAGCGCTGGGTGCCAGTCCCAAACACCCAGCACTGGTGCCAGTCCCAAACACCACCCAGCACTGGTGCCAGTCCCAAACACCCAGGGCTGGTGCCAGTCCCAAACACCACCCAGCACTGGTGCCAGTCCCCAAACACCCAGCGCTGGTGCCAGTCCCCAAACACCCAGCGCTGGTGCCAGTCCCAAACACCCAGCACTGGTGCCAGTCCCCAGACACCCAGCGCTGGTGCCAATCCCCAAACACCCAGCACTGGTGCTGCCAGTCCCCAAACACCCAGTGGTGCTGCCAGTCCCCAAACACCCAGCACTGGTGCCAGTCCCCAAACAGCCAGTGGTGCTGCCAGTCCCCAAACACCCCGCACTGGTGCCAGTCCCCAAACACCCAGCGCTGGTGCCAGTCCCCAAACACCCCGCACTGGTGCCAGTCCCCAGACAAAGCCCTCGGCAGTGCCAGAGCAGCCCCGAGCGCAGCGGGGCATGGCGGAGGCTGAGCCACAGCGTTCCCCACGGCCGGAGCCGGGGCACCGCGCCCTCCGGGGCTCTTACCTTCGTCAGGCCGGGCTCGGGGGGCGCAGGGAGCCGCAGTCCCCCCTCGGGCTGGCGCGGGGGGCACAGCGGGGTACCGCGGGGGACACCGGGCAGGGGGCGCGGGTGGCGGCGGAGCCCCGGCGGCTCCCGGGCTCGGCAGCCGCTTCAAAGCGTGGGGGGCAGAAGGGGAAGCGCCGAGTTCTTTCGAGACAACTTCCTCTTTGGCGGAGCGGTCCCGCGGTGACAGAGCTGTCCCCGTGCGCCGCTCGCTCCCCCGGCGCTCCCCGGGCTCAGCCCTGCCCTGGGCGCGGTCCCCTCTAAGCCGGTCGGGCTGCCCGGGGATGAGTCTGAGAGCCTGGCACCGCCCCTGGCAGCGGCCCCGGGCCTGGCACAGCCCCTGCTGTGCTGCCAGCCGTCCCAGACAGCGACAGTCCCGGCGCTGCTGCCGCGCAGGGAGGCAGGGAAGGGAGAGCCTGGGTGCTCACAGCTCCCAACAAACAGCGTCGCCCCGGGACACCAGCAGTGCCTCCAAGGACTCCCCGTTCCAGGCGCGGTGTTTGTGCCCCTGGCAGCGCCTCCCGCCCGCAGCATCTCCCACATCTGCTTTTGCTCAGAGCCCGCTGCCAGCTCGGGCGGCAGCCTGGGCAGGGCCGGCCCCTCCTGGAGCAGCCTGACTGCCCCGGCCCAGCCTGGAGCGGGTCTGTGCTCAGCACGGTGTCATTGTCACCGCAATGTGACCCAGTGGCAGCAGAGCGGGGCTGAGCCCCGGGCCCAGGTGAGGCTGCCCGGGGCTGCGGGCTCCGGCGGCGCCCTGGCGGTGCCTGCACAGCGAGATCTGTTTGCAGGCTGGCACAGCCCAGGGCTGGCACCCGGGACACGGCGGGGCTGAGGGGACACGGCAGGGACACAGCAGGGCTCTGAGGACACGGCAGGGCTGAGGGGACACAGCAGGGACACGGCAGGGCTGGCACCCGGGACACGGCAGGGCTCTGAGGACACGGCAGGGACACGGCAGGGCTCTGAGGACACGGCAGGGCTGAGGGGACACAGCAGGGACACGGCAGGGCTGAGGGGACACGGCAGGGACACGGCAGGGACACGGCAGAGCTGAGGGGACACGGCAGGGACACGGCAGGGCTCTGAGGACACGGCAGGGCTGAGGGGACACAGCAGGGACACGGCAGGGCTGAGGGGACACGGCAGAGCTGAGGGGACACGGCAGGGACACGGCAGGGACACGGCAGGGCTGAGGGGACACGGCAGGGACACGGCAGGGCTCTGAGGACACGGCAGACCCGGCCCGAACACGGAGAGGAGCGCTGCTCCCCGTGGGATGTGGGGCAGGGCAGGATGAGCTCCCAGCTGTACCCAGAGCAGGGTTTGAGGTACCCAGCTTTGCTGGAGGAGTGGTTTGGGCAAGAAAATCCTTCTGGAGGGAGTGTGGGAACTGCAGCTGACTCTGCATCACTTCCCATTCCTTTTGCACGAGGAAAAGCCTTAGGTACCGCTCTGTACCTGGGGCCCAGGTTTAAAAACAACCTCCTTCCTTCCTGAGCGGACAGAAAGGCAGGAGGAGGCAGCGAGGGCTGTCGGCGTCCCTCGGGCCAGCTCCTCTCGCTGCGCTGGTGCCAAACGCTGCATCCCTTCCCCAGCCCCGCCCTGAGCCGCCCCGAGGGAGAGCAGGACGGCTCCGAGAGCAGCAGCAGCGGTGGGAACACCCTCGTTCCCCTGCCCTGCTGTGCACCAGGGACATGGACACACGGCCATCGGGCAGGCGGGCACGGCCCGGGCACGCACGGGATGCTGTTTGTCCCTGGGTCACACACGGACACTGCCCATCCCTGCCACGGTCACACACGTGGGACGCTGTTTGTCCCTGCCGGGGTCACACACGTGGGACACTGTTTGTCCCTGGGTCACACACGGACACTGCCCATCCCTGCCACGGTCACACACGTGGGACGCTGTTTGTCCCTGCCAGGGTCACACACGGGACTCTGTGTCCCTGCCAGGGTCACAGTTAGCACCTTCAAGAGCCCAGGGGAAGGTCTGGGGTCAGTAGAGCATTGTCCCGTGCCTGTCCCCCTGTCCTGATGCCACCTCTGTCTGTCCCTCCTCAGCAGGAGTTTCCCAGTGTGCAGGAGCTGTGACAGGGGCAGCAGCTGCCTCTGTCCCATTTGCCATGCAAATTCCAGAGGGAAGAGGCTCAGGAGCTGCCTCTGTGCCCTGCTTGCCATGCAAATTCCAGAGGGAAGAGGCTCAGGAGCTGCCTCTGTCCCGTTTGCCATGCAAATTCCAGAGGGAAGAGGCTCGGGCAGGGCTGGGCTGGCCCCACACTTTGCACAGGACAGAAGGAGGGGGCTGAGCTCTGGCTTTGCTGCATCCCTCCCTTGTTCCCAGGGATTTGCACTCCTCCCCTCCCCGCTGGGCACTGCAGGCCCCAAACCTTCACCATCCCCTATTTGTCCCCAGAACTGGGCTCTGTCCCCCTGCACAGAGAATGGGGAGGCCAGAGAGCTCCTCGGCCACTGCCCACAGCACACACCCAGCACCTGCTCATTGCCACCAAACCCAAAAATCCAGTGCATTGAAGGGGACCCTTCAGCCTCACCCCAGCCCTTCCCCTCCTGCCTTTCCAGCTCTGTCAGAGCACCCTGAACCCTCTTCCTGCTGTGGGGCCCCATCCTCGTGGCAGCCCATGGAAGGGGCACCAAGAGCTTGGTTCCCCACATTTTCTGATGTCATTAAACACCAAAACACAGCAGACAGAAACCCTCAGAGCAGCACAGGGAACTGCCAAATTCCCCCAGATAACATCAGCTCCTGGCCACAGAGAGAGGAAGAGCAAGGTGTGACCCTGCTCACACAAAGCCTTCAGTCAGAGGACTGGGGGAAAAAGGGAAGAACCAAACTGAGGCAGAGAAAGAACCTCTTGTGTGGCAGTCGAGGGACAAAGCAGCCCTTTGTCCCTGTGGGCTGGGGCTGTGCTCTGGGATTTACAGGTATTTTGGAGCCCTACCTGGTCACTTGAGTGCATGGGTGGGGTGCAGGGAGGTTGGGAAGCAGCTGGAATCTTCCTCACATGGAAAAACTCTGTCTCCTGAAGGGATCTCCTGATACCCCGAGGGATGGAGCCCCTCTGGAGCCAGCCTGGGACACCTGGGGATGCTCACCTGGAGAGGAGAAGCTCCAGGGAGAGCTCAGAGCCCCTGCCAGGGCCTGAAGGGGCTCCAGGAGAGCTGCAGAGGGACTGGGGACAAGGGAAGGAGGGACAGGACACAGGGAATGGCTCCCACTGCCAGAGGGCAGGGCTGGATGGGATCTTGGGAATCAGGGATTGTTCCCTGGCAGGGTGGGCAGGCCCTGGCACAGGTGCCCAGAGCAGCTGGGGCTGTGGCAGGGGGGCAGCGAGCAGGGCCGGCGGGGCCAGGGCTATTCCTCCAGCCCCAGCCCCAATCCCAGCCCCAATCCCAGCCCCGGGAGATTTCCATACACTTGGAAGGGAACAGGTCACAAACCAAACACTTCTGATGCTGTGGCTCTATTTTCTACCCTGGCCTTCAGCCCAGTTCTATTTCTAGTCCAGCTCCAGCAAATATAGAAGATGAGGGGATCTGGGGAGAGGGAAAGCCAAGCTGGCAGTGTGGTGGCATTGAGGTTGCCTTTTTCATTTCTCTAAACTGAGTCATCTCCAATACTTCTCTCTCTCTCTTTTTTTTTTTTTTCTTTGGTTTTTTTTTTTTTTTGGTTTGGTTTTTTTGTTTTTTTTGTCTTGAAAAAAATCATACTAAGGGGATAAAGAGATGTTAATAATAAACCATGGAGTGTTCAAGTCTGGGCAGCACCTCAGGCTGTCCTGTGAGGGTGGAAAACACCATTTAACTGATAAAGACTGTGCAGGTTCTGCCTGCAGGTTAATCCCAGGTCACCCACCTGAGCAGGACACTTTGGAGCACCTGAAGGAAAAATCCTGGTGCTGTGGTGGGTCCTGGAATTGTCTCTGCCAATGACTCTCAGCCTTTTCCTGCTCCCAGGTCAGCTCCTCTGGGGAGTTTTGGAGCCTCCTCCTGTGCCTCCCACCCACCCAGGAATTCCTTGACCCAAATACTGCTCCTGTACTGGAAATAAATCAACTTTTAATATTTTACAATTACTTTAAAAGTTCTCTGCACAGTATTTTACAGATCAGCACAGACTTTACACAGATTTGCTGAGGCTACACAAATGTACAGAAACCACCCCTAAGAGCCCTGGAACTCTCTCATTTCCAGAAAGCATCAGAGGCCAGAACCTTCACCAGGATTGGGAGTCCCTGGAGTCTGGGCTTGGTTTTCTGGATGGGATGGAATTCTCTTCTCCAGGGCTGCTGGAGGGCCAGCTGAACCCAGAGGGATTTGTGTCCTGGCATGGATCCATGGCACGGAATTGGCCAGGGATGCCAATGAGCAGCGTTTGACAGGACAAGGCGCTGGTTCAAAGGCCTGAACAAGAACAACCCCCTGCCAAATTCCAGCCCCACTGCAGAGAACTCATCTCAGACCTGCCTGGGGAGGCAAAGGCAGAGAGAAAACCCTTTGGGGACCTCAGTGCTCAGGCCTGGGCCCAGGCTAAGCCGGCCCCAGCAATGGAGCAGAAGGTGGCCAGCAGCCAGCAGAGCTGGGAGCAGAGCCAGGGCACAGGAGGGGTCCCAGCAGGGCTGGAGGAGTCCAGCAGACACACCTGACCCCTCTCCTTGGAGCCCCCAGGAGCTCGGGCCCCTTCCCTGGCAGCCTGAACCCCAGGTGATGCTGCTGCTGTGCCACCAGGCCTGGGGACAGCGGCAGGAGCTCACCAGCTCCTGCTTCCTGCAGGATCCCCCTGCACTGAGCCCACTGTGGCTGAGCCCTGCAGCCCCCAGCAGTGCCAGAGCTCCCTTGCAGACACATCCAGGGAGCACAACACTGGGATCAGCTCCTTGGGGCCTGCAGCAGCCCTTGTGCTGCCAGCACTGCTACAATCCCCAAAAACCACCCAGAAACAGCCCGAGGCTTTTCCACTCTTATTTCACAGAATCACAGAATTTCTAGGTTGGAAGAGATCTTCAAGATCATCAAGTCCAAGCCATGTTCTAACACCTCAACTAGATCATGG